CAATTTTTCATAAATGCATATCCTTTTCGTTATTCATTCAAACTATTGTTATTACAGAATACATTTTTTAATTTTACATTTCTCTCTTCACAAACATTTTAATTAAATAATTTCATAAAAATAACGGAAATGTAAAATAAATAATCGAAAATCGTAGCTGATTAAAAATGTCCCACTTCTCGGAAACCTTGAGTTCTGAGTATCATTTGGGCACTGCTGCTGTGATTAAAGAAAAAAAAAACTTTGATCTCGTATTGAATTTAATTAACATTGAATTTGTTTAAAAACATTTATTTAAATTAGCATTTATTTAAATCATAACTTATCACAAACTTAATCACATTTGAGCGTTTTTGAGTCGATGTTTAAGAAAAGTATTTTTATAACACTTTAGTTAAGACACAAGATGGCAGAAAGTATTCTATGGGGAAAAAATGATAAGTTCTGGATTAGGAAAATAGATATAATCAAAGTAATAAAGTTATAATGGCGTTATTTTTTAATGTCAAACGTAACTATAACAGTACTTGACGAGTATGCAGAAATAAAATCTTTATTCTCCAGTGATTTCTTATCAGAGCTATGATACATGTTGAGCAAGCCTAACAAGAATTTTCTTGGGAGTACTTTTTCTTGATAACAGCATTTGGACTGCGAGATAAGATGATTGATACTAAACTGCACAGTTTTTGGCAATCCAGGCTAAATTTTAAAAATTAAGTTTCATTCCAAATACAAATGAAAAATTATTTTTACAATTATAATCTTTTTCCAAAATTAATTTTGAAATTACTAAATTTTTTCTCTAAATTTATACCTTACCTTAGAAAAACTTATTCGAATAAAATAAATTTCTTTATCACTTAAAAAGAACAGAACAAAATAGTTTTTTTTTTCTTTTACCAATGTGAATGTTGTTTGAATATAAATAAATAAACCAAATGTTGTTTCTTTTTCCTTTTTTTTTAAAACCAAAAAAGGGGCAAACAATGTGAATGGTTGTAATTAGAAATGTGAAGAACTCAGGAAATTTGTAATAAGTAGCTTAGGGGAAATTGAGAAAATTAAAAACTTTTCAAATTTAATTATTTATATAGTTACAACTTTCAGTTTTATATTATTAATTATATTAAAAGAAAAAAAATGAAACTTCGGCTAATCTGGCATTTGAACCCTATAAAAGTTTAGTTTTATAATACGAAAAATATTCATTAGGTCTATTTTAGAATTTTATAACGATCAACGAAAGACTTTATTTCACTATTATGAATTTTTTTGTTCATATTGAAATTATACACATTAATACGGATGATTTAGAGAAAAAAAATAAAATATTTCAAATAAAACTATTTGCATAAATCTTACACAAGATTAAAGTTTTGAGTAGAGTTTAATATAAAATTGAATATAAAAAGATTATAATTTGATTAAAATTTCACATTTAGAATATTAAAATATTGTGAAAGAATTAAAGAACATTAGAATACTGATTTTACCCATGAAACATTTCTTAAACAATGAAATACTACATTAAAGCTTTTGAACTCAGTGACAAAACTAGGGAAGTTTGAAAACCAGTTAAATTTCCAATGTATAGTAAGCTTTTAAAATTCTCCCCTCCAAAAATTCCAATTTATTTCAGCCTTTGAAATGCTACATTGCTCACAGATTTTTATCACTTGGATTTAATATAAATAAAATCGCTAGTTTTCATTTTAAAAGTTTTCAATTGTATAACTAATTATTCTCTTGTGTAAAATTTAATACAACTTAAACCTATTGATAATTTTCCTACATAATATAAAATCTGCGTCTAGGTTTACAGATTTTTTGGAAGAAGGGAAGCTTTTTACAAATTTAGTTTGCTCAATGGCAGTAGAGTACTTTTCTTACCATGTATTCTATTTCAGTAGCATCAAAACTGCTCTTCGCAACTTACAATAAATTAATAAAATAAATTTCACTTTTTTCTTATGCAACAACTAAGTAATAAAACCTCCATTTCTTAGCTTATTTGATTGATTTCTGAGGTAAAAAATTACATGAATAGGAAATGAAATTAATTTTGAAAAAAGCTTTTGAAAAAGAAATATAAGATTATGAAATTCATAGCTAGGGCAGATCCTTGCTGTATCTTTTTGAGGAAGGTATTGCATCTCAAATGTTGCTCATGAGAAATTCAAATTTTTACTTATTCTCATCGACACAAGAGCCCAGGGTGGGACCTGGCCTTCACTTGAACATTTTCACATGCCATTCTTCTTGTAGCCAGATCTTGCCAGTTCAATACCTCTACTGTTTTAAAATCTGTGTCAATGGAGTTAAGCCATCGTAAACTTTTTATCAAATAATAGAAGTAAAAAGCGTTGCTTACTTCACTCTCTGGGAGTTTTTTTTTTTCTTTTTAATTATTATTATTGCTTTCTGCACATGACTTAGCCTTTAGTACACTCAAAAATTATGAACTAAAAAGGTAGATAAGTAATATTTTTACATAAAGTCCAAGACTCAATTATTTAAATAAAATGTAATTTATATTATAGTATTATTTGAAGAATTTGATTGTTTTCTTTTTAAGTTTCAATTTTATCCATTTCATAAAGTTTTATAAAGTTATCCATTTTTTTATAAAGTTACCTATCCATTTTATTATGTTTTAAGAAGAAGTATTTTTTGTTGCGGTAAATATCCATTCTAACTAGGCAATTTTACACATTTCATTTATATTTTGTTTCTGAATATGTGCCTCGTGAACTTTTTATAAAAAGATAAAAATAATAAATTATAACTAACTAAACTAATAAACTTGTATGTTTTCTTATAAATTGAACAATAATTCATTTTACCAGATAGTTAATATTACAATGTGATATTTAAATAGTATTATTATATGCATATTTGAAAGAATCTTATTTCTGAAGATTTTTTAGGTAATACTATTTAAAATTTTACTCAAGTATTTATTTCAGTTATTTTTAACATAAGTATATTTTAACATTTATAAAATGTCTTCGATCCTATTTATTACTTTACATTAAAATTACATGCTTTATGTCAGAAAAGTTAAATATTCTAAAAAAGTTACTAGTCATCTTATAAAAACTGATTTTAATTAAAAAATAAATTCTGCTTTAAATCAAAAATACTGTTTAAATGGGGGGAAAAAATGATTTTTTTTTAAATATAACTTTTTGAAACTTTGAAAAACACAACAAAATGAGATGATAAACTGGATTTATCTTTCTTTTGCCCAAATTCAGTACAATATCCTAAAAATTATCCTACAGGTATTTATCATAATTTTTTGCTGCATTCACTTTAGATTCAGCTCACAAATTCAGCATATATAATTGATTCAGTTAAATAAACTCTCAAATGTTATAAACAATTTCAATTGAATTGTTTCCTTTGTTATGATTTGTGAACCATTAACTGAAGTTAAAATTTAAAATACATTTGCGATTTCTTTTCACTATGCTGGTGGTTCAAAACTAAGATCTAAAAAATGTGTAATACATAAAGTAAATGTGACAGAAAAAAAATGGCTAATGAAAAATAGTTGCACATAAAATGACTAGCCATTCCTTTCATAAATGCTTTGCTAGTGCATGAAACTATTATAGATTCTAAAGACTACAACGATGTTCTTTGTAACGAAAGTATAAGTACTTGTAAATTATCTACCTAAATTTAATATCAAATAAAGAATAAATAAAAATAAAAAATACTTAATAATGTCAACTTGCCCATAGAAATTTTATTTAAGATCTAACTAGTCTTTAAATTGTTCAAATTTTTACAATTGACAATTTGAATCTTCAAATAAATTTTTATTTAAGGAGAAATTTTTAAATGTTACATATAAAATGTATTTAAAATTAAGTTAAATGTAGAGTTTAAAAGTAACCATAGCAATATTATATACTCTATGTTAGCAGATAAAACAATGTTCAAAATTATGTCTGAAACAAAAAAAAATAATAAATAAATAAAGATTACAAGGGTGCAATGTCATCATGGAATCTGCGTTTACAAATAACAGTGTAACAAATATGTGTTCATAAATAACAGTGTAACAAATATGTATTTACAAATAACAGTGTGTAAAATTGTGTTACAAATATCAACCTCTCCTAGTGTTTATTATGAGTTAAGTCATGTGTTTTTATTTTTTACTACAATATAAGTTTCTAGTGTTGTGTTCCAAGTTTTTTTTTTGTTGTTTTTTTTGTTAAGTACAGGTATCTATGTTTCTAACAAAGCAATTTATGTTTAGCTGCAATAGGTAGACAACATAACTGCCTTAATTCCTTTATATTTCATTGCATTCTATTCTTTTCATACTTAGAGCGACAGTAATCATTATAAAAACATAATTTAAATCATAAACTACTCACATTTCTCAGTAACATTTTAAATATAAAACAGCAATAATGTATCAAGCTTAAAAAAAAAATAAAAAAAAAAAAAAAAGAGGAATAAANAATAAAACCTTTTATTTTATCTTAGATACATTAACTACAACTAAATTCAAGTATAACTATTTTGGAAATCCTTGAATGGATATGACTAACAAAAATAATTTCTAATGTTTCATGATGCAATTAATTATTTTATTATAAACAAGCCTTGCAGAACCGGCACACTAGAATATATATAATGAAAAAAAATTTTAAAATTTTTCAATAACATAAAAAAAAAATATTAGAACTGACATCATTCGTTATGTTTAACAGCAGTACTTAATTTCACACATTTTTCTTTAACAGATTGAAAAGATTAAACCAAATAAGACATAAGTCTCAAATCGTGAAGACTCAAATAACGTAAAAACAAGCAATAACAAAGAGTTTTCTGAAACTCGTCAACAATTATAAAATGCAATAAAACACAAATAGTACTTAACGTGTTTTAAAAATGTATATTATATTCCCTCGTGTACTTAAATGCTACATTTGCTTATTAAAAAAACAATGTCAACTCAAAATAGTTGTACTTACCACTTGTTGAATTGTAAATATTTCCTTTTTTATGTGCTTAAGAGCGTTCTTGCAATTTAAAAAATTATTATTTACCTAAATTTATTACTTTCATAAACAGTGAAGCACGAGTAACACAGACAAAGTAGCGCATGCGTTGTTTAAACTTCGGCACACCCGCGCTGTTTACCATGTAAGGATTACTGAGATAGCAAAGACTCAAAATTAGCATCTATGTATCACATACGTATTAAAATACGTACAGTTTGGCATTTTTCCACAATTTTTTGAAATTCTGTCCAAAAGAAAGATGCAAAGGTCCGAATAATTAGAAGTTCCACTCTGATAAGAAAGTCAGCTTTTGTTTACCATTTTTCTTTTTTCCTAGTATGACCTCATACATATAAAAAAAAAATGACAGGTATTCCTGATATTCAATAAGTGAGTCCACATGCAAACTTTTATATTGATTGTTATAATAGTTTTGGTGAAATATCAATTTAATTTAAGAATTCTTAAATTAAATTGTGTAATAAATATCTATAAATGTGTATAACGAAGGTTTTATAATAATTGCTAAATATAGTTTTGTTTTCGAATTAGTACTTTATTAACAGACGACACATAGTAGTCAGTTAACTGGCATACTTTTGCTTAATATTTTTTTTCAATTACAAAAGCAATTTTAAATGTATATTGAATCAAAATTAAATTCAGAGAAATATTTTAAAAATTAAAAAACAAGCAAGTAAAGAAAGGGGATTTTCGGCGCATCTGTATCAAACTGTTGTGTCAAAATACACGCAATCCCATTTGTTTATTTTTAAAATATGACTTTAGTAAGCAATAAAAATTTAAATTTTAAGGGGTTAAAATTGATATATTTTTTTAAGGGGCAAAGTTAGCCTTTCAGAGAGGAATACTATGATCTTAGACATATTTCAGGGCCGTTTTTGCTGTATGTGGTTCACGCAACACTGATTGCCATCATCAAAGAATGAGAATCTAATTGGTGAAAATTATATTCCCGCGAAAGATTCGCCAATCAGGTTCTCCTTTTCTGGACTGCTATCGCTTATGCGTGAATCGTATGCAGTAAGAGTAGCCCTTAGCATTACACTAATGTTGCATTGATTGGTTATTGGCAAACGTTGCATAATCAGGTGCAACACTACCAAATATTTGAAGGGAGAGTGGGTGGTCATAGTTATCACATGGCCTCCGTACTTAGCTCCCAAACCATGCGTTGATTTTTTAGCCCCTAAAATCATAGAGAACCTTCAATTCATTAGGCATGATTGAAGAAATCAAGCAACAGAGGTCACGATGGAAAAACATTATTTCCTTCACATCTATTAGGGTCTGTGGCGTAACTACCACTATAATTATTTAATGCAAATTCACTATAAAAGACATGTTAACTTGATTCTATCTTGAGGTACCTTTGGATAGATGAAGGTTGATTTACCTAGTTTATAAATGTATACCCTTCATTGTTGACCTCCGGACGTGATAAGAACTTGTCAATATTGATGGATGATCCACATTAAACAGTTGATTTGCTTAAAAATATACTGCTCCAAGGAAGAAAAAAAATCGGTGAAGTAAATAAAGTCTTCTGGTCAATAAAAACAAAAAATATATAATGAGCAAAATTCCCGAATGATAACTTCCCGAATGACTTGCACCCCTTGAATTGGTTTTGTTATGCGGCCCCTTAAGTTTAATGCAAAAATAACATATTTAGTATAATTTTTATTTAAAAAAATAGTTTATGTAAAGAAAATGGACCCGCGGTCACTCAGAGGAATGAGCGTTTGCTTCCTAATGATGTGACCAGGTTTGAAACCCAGTAATGTAACGCAAATGCATGTTAGTTCTATCAAAAAGTTCTCAAAGAAAACTAATTTGCCCCAATGTCTGATCCAGGAGCTCCCTTGTCTTCCGTGTTGGGTCCAAACTTACAAGGCAACAGAGTTGAACATAGTCGTAAACTCAGAATTGGGTAGGCTGCTCAACGCTGGTTACAAAATAAAAAGTTGTTGATAAAATATTTTTCAAACCTTAATATAAAAGCTTATCTTTACCAGTTTGTAATTTTTAAACCATCATTAAATAGTACCTAATTTTATAAGCACTCAAGATAATGAACATTTAACTAACTGTATAATAAATTTAGCTATCATGTGTGATTAATCTTAAATTTAATTAATATTAGCATAATTTAATTAATTGAAAACAGGGGGTGCGTAGCCACTATTTTTCACAAAAAATAAGCACCTTTTAAGCATTAAAAAATATTTTTAAGCCCAATAAAAAAATTTTATATATAGGATAAACAAAACTTAAAATTTTCTGCTTATTGCAAAAAGTTTTTCATACATACATTAACAAAATGCAAATTAATTATCTAAGACTTTTACATGATCATGATAAAATAACTAGTTTCTGAAAAAGAATTTTTCTTAATTATTGAGTGGCTCATTCTATTTTTTAAATTGATTATTACTTTACTTACGTAAAAAAAAAATCCAAATTTATAATTAATTTAACTAATATTTAAAAAGGTTATTGAGTGCATTTTTTAGATAAAAGTTACTTATAAAAGCATATTCAACAAAATATTAACAAGATTAATTGTGAGCCCAACTCAAAAATCCTGAAAATTTCTTGAATAAAATCATTAATGGCATATTTCAAAAAATGAATGTCTTTATAAATTTAAATTATTGATATTTTCACAACATGAAATTCTAAATAAATTACATGCAGCATAATTTAAATTAATAATTATGTATAAAAGTTTACTTATATCTCTAATCACATTGTTTATTCTACCAGAAAAAATAATTACAAATGAAAAAGATGCCAAGTATAAATTCTAGTTCTAATATTTTTACATAAAATAAATAAGAATTTTTATACATAAATGTAATCGATGATTTCTTGAAATTTCTGGACCTTGGATTTCCGGATCGCGTTTAATCTGAATTTTTTCTGGAGCACAATCATCTCCGTTAATAATACTGATCATACCTAATTTATAAAGATATGTAAAGAATTAAGCAAACTGAGAAAGCTCTAATGCATTCATATTACAAATGTAAATTTGTGAATGGTCCCTAATCAATATTTATTAAAATTGTTACAGTATTTCTTTAATGAAAAGTCAAACGATTTCGAAATGTAAATACAATGAGCATTGAAGCTAACATTTTAGTCAGAAGTAAAGTATGGTCTCTACGCTCATAATATCTGAGATAATAAAATTTTCTTATTTAAATTGTTTCCCTAAATATTTTGTTAAAATCAAATCATTAAGAAATGAATTAAAGTTTTTTAGAATGACAAATCTGAAAAACATAAAATTTTTCGCTATATTTAAAATAGTGAAAGCCCCTCAATTCATACTTATATAAAATCCTGCCTCCAGAAATTATTCAGTTTTTCTTATGAAACAACTTAAGAGTACTGAACTTTTAAAAGCAATAATACAAAATAATAAGTAAAAAAAATTAAAATTTATTAAGTACATACTATAAAATTTTTCTTTATACAATTAGTGGAGGGTTCTTCAAGTAAAAAATCTTCCGATTAAAAATCTCAATTAATTCTTATCTTTATAAAATGGAATAAATAAAAGACAAGGATACTGTGAGGAAATATAGATTTGTGATTCTTTAGTGCTCTTTGAGCCCTCATAATATGTTAATAATGAATAATTCTCAAGTCAAGTGCAAGGATTATGGTACTTATCTATAAATAGAAGAGCGCGAGAAGGCCACTAGCTTGCCAGTGATACAGAAAGATGAAATTAACAAGAGAAATTAAAGTTTCATTTGCAATTAGGGAAAATGAATTTTTGACATTGTTTAGCGATCAGCAAAATTTTTGGTTTGATTCCAGGGGGTGGAAAATGAGAATTTCTTGAAAATTGCAACATAGTTGCACACTAGAGTGCAAGCCCTTCCCGCCGGATTCAGCTCAGAATATGCACATGCGAACCCGCAAGTATTTCATCAAACGTGTAAATGAAGTGCTTTTATACGTTAAGGACCGATGGTACGCCGAAATGGATTGTGAAAAAACGTTGAATAGAACAATGTGAAGTCCATGCTTATTGCAACATTCCTGGCGAAAATTGACATGATAAAAAAAATCTCTCATTTTCAAAAAGTGGAAATTAAGCATTTTTTAAAAACACTCAATGAACAATGCACCTCAAAAGGCTTTTAACAAACGAAAATAAAGCCCTTTTAAAAAATGTTACACACCCTGTAAACAATATTAAGCAACTTTTGAATTTTCAAATTTATATTTTTAATAAAAATGCAGCATATAAACCTAGCCATTAGATTAGATGTGATAAAATGTGTTCATCAGAATGACTGCAACTTGATTAAAAGAAACCAATTCTTTGCACAAATTCTTTATAAATAATAAAATTTTAACATGTGTCTCTAAACCTATAAGAAATAGCAAGTAGAAAATTTGCATAAAGTGTGGAAAAGCTTTATTCAAATTATACAGTCAGGCATTTTTCTCACATTTTGGACTAATATTTTATATTTTTATGTACAATATTATTAAAAATAATATAATGAAAATATTATTTCATACTTTTTTTTTTTGAAGATCCAAATTTAATTTTTTTTTTCTTCACAGAAATATAGTACATTTTATCGGAAAACTTTAACAATTTAAGGAGCAACCATTTTCCAATTCTTTCCAGAGTTACAATCACTAAAAACTACAATCCTTTAGAATTTTACCAGTTTCAAAATATATTAAATGCCACTCAGATTTTTTTTTCTAAATGAAAATAACTTGCGTTACAGACTTAACAGCTTTTCTGTTTTTATGTTCAGTTTTGAGTCATTGAAAATAAACCCGATTCAGAAGATGTTTTCAATTTAAAAAAAAAAAAAATCTGGATGAAATCTAAAATAAGTTTTGTAACTGGATGATTCATATAAGGTAAACAATATGTATAAATAAGAAATATAAATTTACATACATTCATAAAGAAAGAATCATAAATTGAGTTTATTTCAAAAATATTGAGAAACTAAATAAAATAAAAATTTTGAGTATAACATAAAGATAAAACTTTTCTAAACCCTACACGTAAATGATAGATCGATTAAGTCAACCAATATATACATTCAAATAAGAAGTCTCTTGTTTATTTTATACAAATTAAGGTAAAATAACATTTAATAGGTCAGTAAAAAAAATCGAGCTTCATTATCTATATAATAGCAAATATTTTCCCTCTTTGATTTGAATTTAATTTTTAATATGTATATATACATATTTTTTCAAAATGAAGGAAATAACATTTATTTAAGTAAGATAAAACCCATTCATTAACAGCAACAGCACAACTGTCTTTCCCGTAATTCAAAGTTTTTAGACCTGCTTTTAAATGGTAAGAGGTTTGTCCTAAATTAAAAGCAGTAGTTTAAAATTTAATATTTGTCAGGACACCATTAAGTGTACTTCATATATTTTAGACTTATTTAGTTGGTAATAATCAAGAGCAATGGTTTCCACCTTTAATAATTGCGGGGGTAAAAAAAAAACTAGAGAAATAGTTCACAAGGTAGAATTAATTGTTAAGAAATTTTAAGTTTGGGTAGGTGGAACATTAATTATTTAAGTAAATATAATTTATGTTGCTCCAGTGTCTGCTTAATTTACTTATAGTCGATTTTTTGCGCTCAATTTTTATTAATCATATAGCGGAAATGCTTAAACGTTAATAAGAAGTCATAAAAATTTTAATTTTTTATTGTAATTCTTTATTAAAAGGTAACCACAATAGAAATTGCCTTTTATGTCTGAACAACCAAATATAATCAACTCATTTAAAAGTTTCCATGATTTTAGATATCTCACTTTCTCGAATTTGATTTATATCTCGATTCACACATTTAAGTGCATGTCGTTAAAGACTTTCTGGTTGAAAACCACTGTTTGGTGACTACTCAATCAAACCAAATTGGAAAAGATTCAATTAAATATTTTGATTTAGTAATTGAGTAAAAAAAATAGTACCCATATTGTTTTAAAATTTATAAAGAATTTCTTTTTTTATTTAAAGTAAAAGTTTTGGTTTTTTTTAAAAAAATTTCACATTTAAAAATAATCTGATAAAAACGTAAAAGAAGAATAATGTCTCACTATTATTATGCGGTAGAGTTTCCAATTCTGTAAAGAAACTTTTAAGACAAAAATTTCAATAACTACATAGATTTGTGTATGTAAATAGTATTTATATTACAAATTAATTTCAAACAATAAACATAAGTGTACATTTGTATAAGCAATACAACACAATTTAAAAACATAAATAAAGTGACTTTTAATTTAGTAAAAATAACTTGAATATATTAGCACTAGCAAAAAGATAAAAGATTTTAAGTCATCCAGTAAATGAGATACAAGTAGGTATCATCTTTTTCTTAGTAAATATTTTCAATGTAGTAGGAACCCAGATTAGTTAAGGAAGATGATTGTTTTTGTTGAACAAAATCTAAAATCTTGAACATTGTTTCCAGTCATGCTGAAAAGTTTTCAGGAACAAAACTGAAAGAAAAAAAAAAGTGTAAAAAAAAAATTACAACAGAAGAAAGGTTTGAAACCTTAGTGTAAATACTCAATGAAGCAATTGGGGGGAAATAACACATTATAGAAAAAAGAGTATTTATCAATTTTTAGATGTATAATGAACTTGCCAACTTTTCAAACAAACTACATGTAATCAGAAGGACAATAATACAGATAACGTTAAAAAAAATTGAATTAGTATAAATGCAAGGTGCTTTTGCTAATTTTCAAATTAGAGCAATTTTAAGGTTTCTTACTACTTAATTTGACATAGGTATATACATAATTTAATAATATTTTGCCTTAATTTTCTTTTTTTAAACTAACACTCAAGCGTTACTTTTTGAAATATTTATTGCGAACAATTTCATACCTCTTAGTATTAACTACCAAAAATTTTTTTTTAATATTTTTTATTTATTATTTTTAACTTAATTTATGATTTGTTAATTATGATGATTTTTAAAGAATGCAATTTTTATTACTTGGCTGTAATCTTACTACGAAATTGTAATAATTATGGACAAATTATTAGTTGGCATCGCTGGTACAATATTCTTTTTTATTTAAAAAGGCACTATAATTTTCAGATTAAGATAAAGCCCGATAACATTTTCATTTATTAAAGCAGATTTTTTCCTCATTTTATGCAATGTCACTAAACATAATTAAAAAAAAATGAGCACGTTCTATAGCACACAGCCAGTGCAACACGCTCCTAAAAACTGTTGTTAGACATTACGAGTTCAAAAAGTTTAATTTGTTAAAATGCTTGACAGTGGAGCTATCCCACCTTTCCTTCTTTTTATGTAAATATATAATTTAGAGTTAAATAAAATATTTATTATACTTTGGGAGAAGGCAAATTCTTTATTTAAAATATAACAAGACAGGATAGAATATTGTAAGATGACTAACCTATAAAAACAGGTTACTAAAAACTATACCTAAATTTGATAATTAAGAAAAAATCACATCTTCACTGTGACATTAGCTGCAGCATGATCTGGTGACCACAACATATCCCAGCTACTTTCGGATCCATTACTTTCTGGAAGGGGATCACCACTAGAAGCAGAATCGGCCAAAGAGGGCTAAATAAAATAAATAAATATTCAAATGTACCATGATTGAGGAATCTTTGAAATATATAGAAAAAATTTAAATATAAAAACAAGATTATTTCTGCATATTAAAAAAAAAAAATTATAATTAACAATTTTTGTTTAAGATCTAATTTTGCCAATACTGGTTTCAGTATGGATAACTTTCAATAAATTTTAATGAAACCTGCACACGTGTAAATAAATTTGGTGCAATTCTTTAATCACGATAGTCATAAAAAAATTTGGTGATAATAGGAATAATTTTATAAAAATATAACTTAAACATAAAATTAAGTTTTCTAAAATGTATACTTTATCTAGAAAAATAGAAAAGTAATTAATATTTTTATATAGATATTTAAAAACAAAGAGTAAGAAATATGTCCATTTTTACAATGCATTTAAATGAAATCTGTTAACATACAAAAAATAAAAGTTATAAAGATAATTCAGGCTTACAGCTTCATCCCCATCTAAGCACCTGCCTTCTTTGCTCTGATAATAATGGCATATATGTTGCAAAAATTCACATCTTGCTGCTGATAACTCCATATGAAGGTTCCCCACTTTATTCTGCAGAATAAGTTTTAAAATTAATGATAAGTTAATAATACATTTAATTAAATTAATATTTTTCCAGATTTATAAATTTTAAAGGGGATGTATTATTTATTTAAAACAGAAAACATAAATGAAAAAAATAATAAATCAATATTTAAATATGTAGGAGTCATCTGGATAAAAATACAGATCAGTGAAATTGTGCAATGGAAGTCAATAATCAATTTGCAAGATAACTAAGTAAATTATAATAACTGATCAGAATTTATACAATCTTGATAAGGCTTTTGGATGTAGTAAAATTAAAAATCATAATAAAGCCATTAAAAACGATTATTATAATCAAGTTGCACAACTGCTAAAAGTTTTTTTTAATAAGAAAAAAAAACAATAAAATGCATTAACAAAAAGGGCTTTAAAGTTGAATTACTTAATCAAACCCAAATATAAACTAAATTGCTACCAGTCAGGCCTTAGCTATTATCTTTAAAGAAAGGGACAATATATTTGATACATTAAAAGGTAACTACTATCATCCACACATACTTTTAGATACAGATTTCAACAGAATTACAAATAAAATTAAAAGTTGAAATACAAATTCATAGTTATGTAAGGTCTTAATTAAAAATATTATGACCTAATAAAAAATAAACAAGATAATTAAATAATAGATAGGGGATACAATTTTTTATATGAATCTAAAACTGCTAGCAAAAGATAAACCTTATATTTATAACAATTTAATAAAAATAAAAGCTTATCATGACAATAGCTCAAAATGAAAAAACTTATTGATTTTTAGTAACAGTATACAGCTATCCTATTCAATTATTTATTTGCTTTGAATTTTAGGAATATACACTAATGAAAGAGAGAATTCAAAATATTGAATTGGTTAAACTATCTCAGCTATTTAAAACAAAAATTTAAAAAAGGTGAATTAATGCAAATAGGAAGATTTTGCTTTTATTTAGACCTTGCAGTTATCTGGATGTATGTAATATATTGCAATTGGCTGCTCAGAATCAAAATATTATCTTTTCTATGTCTTAAGTCAAAATGCAATTTCACTTATATATTAACATAAAAAAAAGTTTTTTTATTATCAATTATTCTAGTAGTTTCCAAACTCTTATAAATTCGTAGCACAGTTTTGTCAAAATTTAGTATTTTTTAATCACAAGTAGATAGTTACTTATGGTCTGTATATATTTTAACACTTAAAATGTTTTTTTTTGACATGATTAAGCAGGGTTGCCATACATAACTGCAAAAAAAAACTCCCTGTGGTTTTTCTTGCACATATTACACACAATATATTAAAAGGAAACACAGATTTATTGGGCTCTTATGTGAAATATTTCAGGATAATGATACTAGTTTTAATTGCTGGAAAAACTTAGAGAAATAATAAACAGCTCAACATACTTAAAACAAATAATGCTATACTAAATGAAATAACATAGTACAGCTAAACTATGATCTTGAAATATGGAGCGTTGGGAGGTCCGCAGTTTCCAAAATAAGAAATAAAATTCCCTGTAGAGTAGCAACTGGACCAAGGAAAAAAATTGGGTTAAAATCACAAAAAAAGTAGATAACTTTAAATGCTATACTTACCTTGTAGTGCAAAATAAGTTTCTTAATTCTTTCTTGAACAAAATTTGGTACAAGGTTTAGGCCATCAAAGTCCATTGTCTGACAAACTATATCTTTTTTTAAATTTGGCATTTCGCTAGGATCATCACAAGGTGTAGCAGGAAAACCTGAGCTCGGAGTTCGAGAGTGATTAGGAGTGGTATAACTGCAGCTACAAGAATTGGTTGAGCCATTCCTTTTACTACAAATATATGCCCCTATAACATTTTGAAACCAGTTAGGTAATCTAGAGTCCATATAGTTACCATTTAAAGTGATAGATTGTAAGATGTCTTCAATTGATAAGGATAAGTCACTAGTATCGGTACCAACACTTGACACTTGTTTGAAGTCAGAAGATACACCTGGCCTATCTTTATTCTCACTTTTACTAAGTTCTGATACAAGGACTCCACTTTCACTGACTAGAGTATCAGTAGAGCCATTGATACCTGGTTTTTGTAAAACTAAATTTGAACTGGAAGCCATCTCTTTAAAATTAGTCCTACTATCTAACTGGTCACCACCTTTTTCTACCAAACTACTTTCATTTTCAGATTCGCTATTAGAGATAATTCCATTCATAACTTTTTGGCTTGAAGAGCAAGTTGATACATCACCCTCATTAAAATCAGGAACTTTAGGATAAAGCAAAGGAGGCTCAGGAAATGTGTTCTCCACTAATGATGGGTCACTGTTACGTCGGTGCAAAATTTGAGAATGCTCAGAGCTATGGATATTATCACAAGATTTAGTTTTTACAAGATTAGTTTTTTCGACATTTTCAATCAATGGAGGAGGTTCTTCAACAGGTAGAATAGTTGATTTCCCTAAATTAGCAGAACAGTTAGGAAGATATACATCATTCCAAAATGACAAGCTCCTAATTTGGTAAGATGGCCTTAAAATCTGAAACAAAAATTAAACTCATATTTATCACATATTTCTAAGAATACTTTTTTACATTTAATACTTTTCTTAAAAGCTATATATTTTGAGAAAATAAGTACCATTTTGTTNTAGTTGATTTCCCTAAATTAGCAGAACAGTTAGGAAGATATACATCATTCCAAAATGACAAGCTCCTAATTTGGTAAGATGGCCTTAAAATCTGAAACAAAAATTAAACTCATATTTATCACATATTTCTAAGAATACTTTTTTAAATTTTATATTTTGATATAAATATAAAACGAATGATTGAAATATAAAACTTTTTTAAGTTTTATATTTTGAGAAAATAAGTACCATTTTGTTTTCGTACAGTTTTAAACAAAAATAATATCAATTTATAGCAAATATACATTTTTGTCAATGAATTAAAATATTTCAGAACAATATAATGATGATTTCAATCGAAAAATACAAAAAAAAAAATTTTTTAAAACATGTTTTTTTCTTTAAAAAAAAAAAAAAAATTATATTGAAAAAAGTTTAATTGTAAAAAATAAATTTTATATTCTGGTTACTCTAAATTCATAAAGAGCACTTCTAAAATGGAGAAAAAAATAGATATATAATATAAATTTTTAGTTTAATTTATATAAAAATCTTAATTTTAAAGATTGCATATTTATTCTGTCTGTTAATAATAAAAATAGCAGCTTTTACCTATTACAGTTTAACACCCATTATTACTTAATATAATGTCATTTTATGCTTTGAAATCCTCAATTTTTCTGAAATTTTCTCCCTAAAATATTAGATAAATATAGCGAAACCTCGGTTACATGGATACCCTTGGGACCGAAAAAATTGCCCGCTTACAAGAGTTGTCCTTTTATGGGAAGGGTAGCCTAATAACTAAGTTTATCACCGTAAATTGTTTTTAGAATATTTTCAGTGATATAGAAATTATTAGATAATCTACGATAACTATTTACAAGGATATTTATTTAAACTTTAAAAAATATTTTTTCCCATACAAAAAGAATGTATGAAAAAGATAAATGAAAATAATTATCCCATTAACAAAGATATTCTAGTTAGTCATATGATACCGAATATGAACTTTTACTCCTCAGTTGGTTTCAGTCATTAGGCTTACACCTACCCATCACTTGAAAGGAAACATGGTTAATACCTCCTTGAAAGTAAATCTCCAGCGAGTCCCAGAAAACAAAAGAAATCAATGCTTACTTGTAAGATATGAGGATCTATAGAGTCGATATATTCACAATTAATCATCCATCAGGTGTCTGAATAAGTGTTTAATTTATATGAATACCTCAAAGATCATATTTCTGCTTTCTTTTTTTCTACCCCAGTTGTGTTGAATACAGTCTTCAAATTTATAAGAAAATGAAGGAAATTTTCAGTGGTGAATGTGAGTATGCCTCCTTTCTTTGCAAATATAAGACAACAGGGCTCGAAATTAACGGTGGTCCGTTGGTCCGTGACCACTAAAATCTGAGTCGGACCAGCATAAAATAATAAACAGTGGTCCGCCGGACCACCATCCGCCGCAGCCGATCTCCGTTAATCTATTCTCGCAGCCGATCTATTCTCGATCTTACGAAACTTAAACGATCTTACTTAAAACTATTTTAGAGCTTATTCACAATTTTTTTTAAAATTTTTTATACAAAATTAATATTAATCAAAAAAATGCGATTTATATCAAAAATTTATGATTTTTAAAAAAAAAATCATGATCTTTTTCAATCAAAAATTTGAATTTTTTATTTGCAGCTAATAGGAACGCGTAGACGGACCAGTAAAGTTTTGTGCGGACTAATAAAATGTTTTAGTTACTGGTCCTATGGACCAGTAAATTTTTTTTCTTCTAATTTCTACCCCTGGACAAGGTGCTGATTGATTCTTTAGTAAATAGCTTAATAATATTTTAGCTATGGATAAGGGAAAAAATTAACATGCTTTAAAAATCATGAAAAGTTGCATATTTTTTTTTCCATGCAATTTAAAGCAGAAAAGTTTTCTGCTTTCAAATTTAGAAAAAATAATGCCCAATTTGAAGTGATAAAAAATAATGTTTCAGGGCAAGGATGACTGTCCACAACGGTTTATTCATAAAAGATTCACAGGGAAGTAAAAATATGTCCGTGGTGAGAGGCGTCTGTTTCGCAGGAGTGTCCATAACAGGAGGATTCACTGTATTTAAATTGAATTTTTATAAAAGTGTTTCATTACAAATTTATTGAAGAAAGGATTATAAAATGTTCTTTTTTTCTCATTTTAAATATTTCTGCCAAAAAATGATTTGTAATATTGAATAACACCAATTTTTCGGCATCGCTCCAAATTCTTAGAGAAAATCAAATATTTAGACATCATAAATGAAGGTAGGAACTAACACATGGAAGCATTAAAGTGTATATCACTGTTAATGTTAGACAATCTAAACAAACAAAAAAGAGAATTTGCAAAATAATAATGATAAAAAAGCACACCTCATTACTATGACTGTATAAATAATTATGAAATTGACTTTTTTCATTCAGCACAGGCCATATTGAAAACGTTCTAAGAGGAACACTATAAGTTCGTCTTCTACTTTCATCAGTGTTGCAAAGAAAAGTTCCAAATAAACAGGAATAGGTATGAATAGCCAGTCGTGCCTTTAAAAGAAAAAAAGAAGACATATTTAGTAAAAGTAATATTGATTTATTACTTTTTATTTAAAAATACAAATAGAATAACAAGAGTTTTTAATTTTTCATTATATTCTCAAAACTATTTATTTTCTTCCTAAAAAAATTTTTTTTCCCCCACTGAAGCCATCAGTTTAATGCTTTTTTTTGTTGTTGTTGGCATTAATAGAGATTCTTTAATAATCAAGCTATTCACAACATAATTAATTGATACTTTTAAACATCGTATTGCAAAATACTGCATGTATAGTGCAATAAAAAAAAAGACTATTTTGAATAACTTTTTATTTAATGATAAGATCTTGGTGATCTAGAACTCAATTTTAATGGCACGAGGGGGTGACCTCAAGTATGTTGATTAATTAGTTCAGACAATAACTTAAATTACAAAATCAGACACAAAAATGTACTTTCTCTGAATAAACATACCTTTTTCCCCCCACAGGATTCAGATTCTTGACCCTCAAAATATAGGGTATAGTCACAATCAGGAAAATATGGTTCCCATAGGTTGGTCAGAAAAGCGATCCAAAGTTTGGATCCTTAATGCTAATTTTACGTTTCACATATTTCGCTGTATCTCAAGAATTTTTAAGAGAATTAAAAAATGTTTGCATATAATTATAAAACTTTTTTATAAAAAGATGATTCCATGGAAAAAATAAATTTTAGTGAATATTTAATATTTTATTAAATAATAGTCGAAAATTTTTCGAAGAATAAGGTATTCAAATCTTTATGTCTTATGTAAGTACACTTGGCAAAATACAAAATTTGAGGGAAATAGTTAATGAGAAATGGAATTTTAAAGAAATCTTATCTTTAAAATCTGATGCCTCAGCAACAATTTAACCGATTTTGCTCAAATTTTGTATTGTGCCAGGTAAAATTCACAGTGTGTAGCCGAATTTTTCAATAAAAAATAAGCACCTTTTAAGCTCTCATATAATATTTTTCGGCACTTTAAAAAATATAATTACGATATGCACACTAACAAAAATTTTTTCTCCCTATTGTTGTAAGTTCTTTATATATTAACAAAATGCAAAATAATTAGTAATAAGTTTTATCATAAAGCAACTTTAAAGTACAAACAATTTTAAAAGTAATAATACAATAATAAAAGGCAATAAGTAAAAAAAAAAGTAATGAAGTACAACAAAACTTTATGTAATTAGTGGATAGCCCCTCAAGTAAAAATTCTTACAATTAAAAATCTTAACTAATTCTACCCTTATTAAATTGAATGATTAAAAGGGAGATGGAAATTTTGAGATGAAGTTTTGCGATTCTTTACTCCACTGGAGATCCATATGGAAACATGTAATTGATGAATGATCCCCAAGTCAAGTTTAAGGATTATGGTACAGATCTATAAATAGAAAAGTACGAGAATACTATTAGCTTGCCAGTGGCGCTTCACCAACGATGAAATTAATGAGAGAAATAAAAGTTTGTTTTGCTATTAAGAAAAAAAATTGGCAACATTAAGTTGGTGCCTGTGATCAGCAGAAATTCAAGATCTTTTGGTTAAATTGCGGAGGGCAGAAAATAAAGCCTGAAACTGCGAATATCTTGCAAACCGCAGCAGAGTTGCACATGAAAGTGCAAGAATCCTTCCCACCATATCCAGATCGGTATACGCACTTGCAGACACATAAGTATTTCATCAAACATGTAAATTGATCGGCCTTTCTAAAAGGCTATGGACCGACAGTACGCCGAAATGGATTGTGAAAAGGCTTAATAGAACGATGTAAAAACCACGCTTTTTGCATAAATTGTGACAAAAAATTGACATGGTAAAGAAAAAATATCACATTTTGGAAAAGGGAAAATTAAGCTTTTTAAAAATGAGAATGGATATTAAGCACCTTTAAGTATTTTTTAAAAATACTATACACCCTGAAAATTTCATACTTTAAAATGACGTAAAAATTTATGCACATTACAATTACCAAAAAAATTTTATTAAAATTAAGGGGTACAAACTTAGGATCGTTCTTCTGACCAACGTATGGGGACTATATTTCTCAGATTGCAGCTATCCCAAAAATTTAGAAATCAGAATCCTTTGAAAAAAAAAAGCATATTTATTCAGAGAAGGTACGTTTTTTTGTGTTCGATTTCATAACCTAAAATATTGTCTGCACTAATTAATTAGCATATTGAGGTCACCCTTTCGAACCAGTAAGAATGAGTCTTAGAACATGAAGATCTGATCATTAAATTAAAAGTTATTCAGGGTAGTTCATTTTTTTTGGTGCACTGTACATACTGTATAATTAGGGCCCTATAAATTATGCGAAGATGCGGAAANAAAAATTTTCGCATAATTTATAGGGCCCTATGTATAATATAATAAACTAATATTTAATAAGATATGTTTGACTATATGAGATTTGTTAATACAAACTATATAAGCTATGTTTGCTTTACTATATTTAGATTGTTCTTTCTTTTATTACTCAACTTTTCACCATTATTGATTTTGCATTTTTTTTTTAGAAATTTCCATACAATTTTTGCCTTTTTAAGGAATCATAACTATATTTTAAAAATAAATTGGCACAGCCTGATCGGTGTTTGGATTCTATTTTCAAAAAGTCAGAAGGGATTTAGCAGACACTGGTCCATTTGAAAACTTTTATTATTGACAATATGAATACATTCAAAACTCATGAGCTGTTTAATTTTCTGTTTTATTTTCAGCATACTTCCCCATCTAAATGCAATTGAAATTAATAAGAATCTAAAGTAATGTCTTATTATTTAAAGCACAGAGATAAAAGTTAAAAATTGTGCTTTGTACCCAAACTGTTAAACAAATAGTGCCTTCTATATGAAATTCAACAACAGAAAAAAATGAAATGTGATAAAAAGGCATTCTTCTCAATCTACATAAAAATGCTGATAAAATGAACAATCTTTAAATTTTCTGAAAATATGCTAACTTCTTTTTACTTAACTTTTAACTTTAATAATAAATAGAAAAAAAGTACTATTCTTAATAATATATGATAAAAGGTATTGTAAGTATATGTAGAAAGAGTTATAAATATTTAGATGAGTAACATAAGAACTAAAGTTTGATTTTAAATAAATTATTCATTTATTTTATTTAGCTATTTTTAAAATAAAGGACTTATTTCTCGTATCATACAATGTTTGCCGAATGGTTTCTTTTCTGCTAACTTCAAAAATTAAGTTGTAAGAAAACTTCTTACCAAATATTGTTCATTGAATTCAAAATGGCATTGAAATTGCTGTAAAAGTTGATATATACAATCCAACCACTGTAAAAATACAGGACTCCTTTCATTTCTGTCATCAGTACCATCTGGGTGACCACAGCGATCACCAAACTTATGTCCAAATTCTAACCATTCTCGCTCAACTAGCACTTGAAAACCCTACAAACATTTTATAAAAAAAAAGCAATTAACTTTAAATAATTTATTGAAATAAACATTGCGGATGAATTTGTAATTCTTATTTAATATTTGGTTACTATAAGAATGTGTTAAATATTTTCAGCCAAAATGAATATTTAGAAATAGTGCAAAACGTTCATTTTTAATATGGAATAAGAATTTGTTATTATTATTATTAGATAGTTAGAATTAGATTATTATCAGATAGTTAATAATTTTTTTATATGTAGATAGTGACAACAGCTTTTTACAAAATCTATTTTAAAAGTATAAATTAATTAAAAAAGAAATAAATTATTTACCGTTTATTTAGATAAATTATGACAAAAATATCTGAAACAATCAAATAAGTTAAATATAAACAGTTCTGTAGTTTAAAACTTAAAGATAACACATTATATTAAATATCTTTATAATCATAAAAGAACAGAATAAAAAGACCACTAAATAAGGCATTAAAATAAGTAATTCACAGGTAACTACTATAACTTTAATTAATTTTAAGCTGATGGCAACCGAACAATGCCTTAATGTAATGCATACAATGAGTTAATATAATCCTTTATTCAAGAATAGCCATTTAAAGATACAATTTTCTAGTTTTAGAAATTACCTTTTTAGTTCGGTAATATGGATCTAACATAATTTCTGCCAGTGCTACAATTTGAGGCGTTCTATCCCAACCATCAGAGCAATGTACTAAAACAGGTCTCTCCTCAACATCAACTGCATTCACTACTAATAGAGCAGCTCTTAATAATCCTGAGATGTGATGTAACCATTTTGTATTTTCCAAAGAAGAAAGCCAACTTTAAAAAAAAGAAAAGGAACATTGTTAATTTAATAGAGTAATATTGGTAACAAACAAAATTACGGAGATTAAATAAAAATAATGAAAAAATTTCAAAACAAAACATTAAAATAAATTTAATTAATCAGAGTTTGTGTGGAGAATAAATTGTGGAAAAATATTGTTCAAGTAATTTTAACAAGAAACTAACAACTGAAGGGCTAAGAGCCACACTTTTTCAAACTCTACAATTGAAAATCAAACTGTTTCTTAGTATAGTTTCAAGATAAGGATTTCTAAAAAGTTTCAGAACATTCGAAAAGTTTCAAAACATTCCATTGAAATTTTTTAAACTGTAGCTTATTATTGTACTTCAAGCTCTTCAAATATCATAATAAGAATTAAGTTAAGTTTTTTAGTTAACTAAGTATTTAACTAAGATGTTCATTAACACTTAGTATTTAACAAACGTATTCAATAATTTAAGATACTTACTTTGTAGGCTATAAGAATAATAACAAAATATTAGAAGAAAAGTAATTACTATATAGTTAAAACTCCAGCAGTTAATATATATCTTTATAAGAAAATTATAAGACTCCTATAGAGCAGTTCCACTATTTTAATTATTTACGAAAAACGTCTTAGTGACAAATCATGAAAATTGGAAACTATTAAGTAACTTTTTTTTTTGTAATAATATTAACTTTATGGCATATTTAAAATTTTTTTCATCAACTCAAAAACTCTATAAGCTCAGTTTTTCTGAAGGTATACTTTCTACAAAAATATCATTATATCTAATTAATAACAAATATAAAAATATCATTATATTTAATTAAATTAATAATAAATATATTATCAAAGTGCAAAATCATAACAAATTCAATAAGTAATTTTAAGCATTAGACAATGTAAATATATATGAAGTATAGCACAAAAATAGTGGTCAAGTGCATCTTTCAAGTCCGATAAAATCTCTAATATTGAAAAGAAAAAAGTGACAATAAAATAGAGCCAGCTGATTTTTTTTAACAAATGTATACTTTTAATTTCTTTCAATGTTGTAGCCCATATTAAAAAAAATCGTGTTAAGTTTTTTTGTTATAAAAATAAAATTAATCAGCAATTATGAATATAAGTAAAAATAGTTATTTTAAAATAGGTGAGTGAAGGCCGTGTGAAGCAAATGTATAATTTCAGTATTTGGTATATAAGAGATATAAAGTGATTGTTTGAATCGAACTAAAGAGAAAAAAAATAAGTAACAGCAATAAGAGGTTAAAAAAACTCTCAGGGATCTTGAGTTCTTCAAAACTTAATGAGGAATAAAGAAAATTCTAAATTCTTTGAGTTATGTGAAGATGTGGGCTTTAGCCACCAATGAACAAACAATTAGTGGCTCCTCATGTGACAATAAAAAAAAAAGTTTTGAAAGCCAAATACATTTTTAAATAAAAAAAAACAAAAATAAATTTAACACTTTTTTAAGGGGCAATAAATATTGTATAATTTTAATGAATTCTAATGAGGTAATTTCTAGAAAACATAATTCTTACTTTTGATCATCTGAAAGAGCACATAAAGCTCGAAGACAAGCAAAACTATTACGGATCGTATGAATATTTGCAAGACCCATGTACTGAATTTCACAATTAGAGTAATAACCATCACATTCATAGCCCCCTCCTTTTGCTCTATTTGTCATAGCTGCAGCATATGAGCGAGCATCAATTATAAGTAGTTTCTTCTGAAGCGCTTTCTTTTCCTGATCTTGACCTAGATTCAGAAGGAAAACCATATTTTTTATATGCATAACATATTGAGCAGTTCAATAAATGAGAAAAATCAAGTCTTACCACAAAAAATAGACATATCAGACTCAATATCCCTTCTAAGAAAAGTTTCATCAGGAGAGTCAAGCTTTATATTATAGCCAGGATCCATAACACAAGCAACTGAAATGGCTTCGATTAATTTCTCGTCATTTGCATTTCTCCAACTCAAAATACCCATTTTTGGTTGACTACTGCGAGCAATGACGCATCCATTTTGTTGATGCCTAAAGTACAATTAAAAAAATATTTTTACAATGATTAACATATTTTTGTAAATAACAATGAACCCTTTTCTCTATACTTATTACAGAGATTAGAAAATGTATAGAGTTTTCAAAAATTTTGAAGACATATATATATGAAATGCAAACATATGTGTAGGGTTCACACCAGTATGATGCAACAATTTTCATCAAATGTTGCATAAATGTTCATAAAATCAAATGCATGGGCAACATATTTGTCACCTTGAAATATGTTTAGAATTTAGAAAATAATAATAAAAAATAGTCTTTCACATCGAATTCCATGCATTTTTAAAAAAGATCTTGCTACATTCATTTTATTGCTCTATGTGTGGTACGAAATTCAAATGGAAAAACTGAAAATGCGTTGCAAATATATATATATTTTTTTTGGAAGTTTCAAATTTACATGTGTTTGGCATTTATGTACTGGCAATATAATTGTTCACCACTAAAATTATATTTTTCACTCCCTTTTTTTCACTAGAATTGATGACATTTAAAATTTTCAGATAATTAACTTTTAGTATAGTATTTTGTGTTTTCTTAGTATCTCTGTTTCAATTTATTTATCTATTTTGTCTCCGCATTTTAATATTGATTTTTAATCTATTTACTAATATTAATATAGCTTTTTTTTCTTCTTTTGCTCAATTTTAATAAACACAAATCTTCAATCATTATGGGGCAATGAGCATAATTAATTTTAGGGTGTTATGGTAATTAATAATTTCTGATGTGTACCATAACATTCATGTAACTGTAAGTTTCAATTTTTTCTTCTTCTCAAGCTTGTCTAGCATATTAAGTTTTTGGCTCACTAAATGAATACCTAGGTAATCTTATTGGATCACTAAATTTGTATTGCTGGTGTGAACCCTATGTACATGGAAATTTTTTTGTGTACTCAATTAAACAAATAAATAAAACTTCTAAAACTAAACAAGCTATTGATATCACTACCTTTAAAAACTATGCCCTGAATAACAAACTACGAAATATAAGATTACGCTAAATTTCTTTAATAATTTGAATACTTACCGCCAAACAACAGCAGGAACTCGCCTTGAATACCGAAAACTAGCTAAATCTTTCAAATCATCATCATTTATTAAAGATGGAACTATTATATAGCGAGGATAACTAGGGCAAAACCTAAAAAATATACATCAGAAGATTATGAAGGCTCTATTATAAAATTATTACTAAAATAAAGAATTAAAAAGAAAAATAATTGGAGCAAAAATTTATGCTACAATGTTTCAAAGACTCAACAATGGGAAATAAATAAAAACAATGGGAACAATTACATAACAACAATGGGAAAAAAATAAAAACACAAAAAATCTTTTGTGTACAACTTTTGAAAAAATACTACACCTATTTATTAAATCTACACTAAACTCTGTGGCAAAACAGCCCATAGAGGGCCAAGGCCTACTCTGCTCAACCACCGGGCTTTTTATTTATTAAATCACTAGTGTTTAAAATACAATTTATAAAATATTATTTTTGAAAATTTGTTTCATGCAAAAGATAAGCTTAAAGTTTACTTTTTCTCTAGTTGAAAATTGCTTTTGATGTAATGTAATAATTAGTTGAAAATTAATACTTAAATCAATACCCGAAATGCAAGTTCATAATCACTTTATCTCTGTTAATAATGTCATATAATATATATATTTCAGCACTAATCTTTCAATTTAATATTTCACTTTTTATTATTTTAGCCACTGGATGGTGCTGTTTAATTATGAAATGTATAACTTTTATTTTCACTTCACTACTCATCTGTCCTCCATCTTGTTAAGAGCACTAGCTCACCTACTTACAAATTATGTTTATTTAATAATAAACTCTTATTTTAAAAGGTAATCTGAACTTTTTACTGAATTAATAATGCCTTAATTCCTTGAGTAAGTCATGCTAAGTATTCCAGCACTATTAAAGTAAAGACAACACAAGTGACCATGCACTAACCAAAGATAAGCAATATTTTCCCCGGCAACCTTTTATTTGTTATAAGTGCGCGATTACCAATAAATAATTTTTAAAAAAAATAATACTTACTGATAATCTTCATTAACTTTGCTTATTTTCCACACACTCTTCAGATCAAAACCCATGCGTTCAGCTTCAGATGTAATATCCTCAACTGATGAATCTTTGGAATCAAGTAATGCTATTAAGAAACAATCACTAAATGAGATGAATTTAAAATAAATAGATAAATAAGTAAAAGAACCCATCTTCTAATTTAATTAGATAAGTTGGATTTTTAAAAAAAAAATATTACATAATGTTATAACACAAGAAATTAAATGATCGAGTCGATTTAAATATTAAAAAGATTGTAAATATTAAAAATTTTAAACTGAGGTTTATAACAGTTTTTGCTGCCACTCTCCAATATAACATTTTTATTATACGATTAAGTAAAGCATTTTTTAAAAATAATACATGTTATGTGCAATAGTGAAATATTTCAATTAAAAGAACTTTCTTAAGCGTAAATCTTTTAGAGCTTTGTAGAAGAAATACATATGTAAAAAAAAAACGTCACATTCCTGGCATTTTTTGAGCCAGGATTTGATAACATTATTTAAGTGAGTTCCCTTTATTATTATTTTTTTGTTAAGTGCCTTATAAAGAATAAGAATGAATTTTTTCAGATCTTTTAAAACACTTTCCGTTTCTAAGAATTTGTGATATAAAAATTTCTATTTTTTTGAAAATCACCCAAATGTTTAAAAAACAAAAAAAAGTTTTAATTAAATGATTATTTGATATCTTTAACAAATAGTAGCCAAAGCTATATTTTACCGTATGACGTATTTATTCTTTTATGCATGCCCAAATCAAATAATCTGAACAGAGCCATTAATGTAAAAGAAAATTGTGTGAATGCTTTAAACGTAATTATTCATCTTTAAAATAATTCGTAAATAATTTTTCAAATATTTAAATATTTTCATTAATTGCTTTTTCAACAAAATGCTATTTTCTTACGCGTGAGATAGAGAATCGTTCCAATTCACCTAACAGGATGCTATATCATGGGAGAATTTTTTTTCAACTTCTTAAGTAACTTAAAATTTAAAGCATAGAAAAAGAGAGTTCAGATAGGCCTAAAGAAAGCCATGAAGTTTCAAATGCTGAAAAAAATCAAAATGCAAACAAATTGTTTCCCTTTTTTTTGCTAAAATGTTTTTCAACATTTGAAACTCCACTGCTTAATATAAGTTTTTACCTAAATTTATTTTCCCCTCTCTAAAATTAACCCTATTTTAAAAGAGTTTAGCATGCATAAAATAAGAATGAATTAAAATCATTTCAGTACTTATAAGTCAAGGGAAAAAAGAACTTAACAACAAAATACTTGCAGAGCCTATGGGGAGGGGGAACAATGACAAGGCTAAAAAATGTTAAGCAATTGCATTTTCAATTTTAAAAAAATGTGAATCAAGTGCAAACTATTATGGTACTTTTTAATACATTTGTTAATGCTATGGGAGAACAACAGAAATACATGTTAATATTTAAGAATGTCTTGTTGCCAAATTCAATTTATAAATTTAGCAATAAAATACATAACTTGTCATTGTTATAAGATTAAGTTACGTTAAGATTAAGTTAAGTTAATGTTAAGAATTCTTTAGCTTCTTTTATTATCAATTATTTCCTTACCCCACGAATTATTATGAGCTTGAGAGACAATACTATCTTTTTGCTCTTCCCTGGTCCATGAAAGAAAGCGAAATGCAAAACAAAGATCAATCTTTTCCGGCAGTTTAATACAGTTCTGAATTCTCTTCAGCCACTTTTGGGTTTCATCAGTATTATCAAAGATACACCTAAAAATCAGAGGATAAATAACAACTAGTTTAGAAACACATGCATATATGATGTGCACCTGTTTCTAAACATAAATTTCATGATTCAGTACTAATTTGTTAAGAATTATTTCAGAAAAAGTGAAAAAAAAGGAAAATATAATTTAAAAACAATCATATATAAATATTCTGAAAATATTATTTCAATAATTTTAAATTAATAATTTTTAATAATTATTAATAACTTTTCAGTAATAATTTAATAATTAATAACTTTTCAATAATTAATAATTTTTCAATAATTTTAAAATAATTAATAAAAAATTACCTAAAGGTGCGTGCATCTTTGCAACAAATATACAAATAGAAGATTTCTCTGCATTCTACATAGTCGATTAATCCAAGTGGAATATTTATATAAGTTCCTTCTGGATGATATAAACGATAATTTGTTACAACAATAACTCCTTCTGATGTCCGTCCTCTAAACAGTGGGTTTTCTCCACTAAGTAAGGGGAAAGACGTTGTACATATACCATCATCTGATACAAATGCTTGCTTTGGATACATTTCACCGGCATTAACAATTTCTAAACTTGCTTCGTCCATTATCTAAAAAATAAGAAATTATTTATATTATACATGAATTCCTTACAGAATAATTAGATAAAAAGGCTTTTAAATCAATAAAAAACATTTATTTAAAAAGAAGTCTGAGATACTGATATTTTAAGTAGAAAATACAGGCTTGAATGAAATAAAACTCAATTTGCTTTATAAATAAATAAAAGATTGCATAGTTAAGTTTTAAAAAAAGTTCATCTTTAATGCAAAGCCAGAGACAATAGAAGACCAAAAAAATTCGATCTATCATAAGTTAATTGAATTTTTATATCATTTCTATATAATTTGAAATTTTTAGAACCGTAATAAGTTTTTAATGTCACTAATATAATTTTTTTTAGCTATTCCATGTTTGTACATAATTACAATATGTATACAAATATAAATATATAAAATCAAATTACATAAAGATGAAATCAAATGGTAGCAAAACTCCTTTAAAATTAACTCATAAAACAGCGAAAAGCGTTTAGATCTACAAAGGTTAAAATATTCAGTTTTAAAAGGTTTCACATGTTCAGTTAGTGACGTCACCTATAGCAGATTGACGTAAACTAATTGTGACTCCAAAAGCAGAATATTTGACAATGTTCTGTAACAAACATTTATATATGGAAAAATGATCTATGGATTTTACTAGCAATTAATCTGAGCAAGTTTAAACAATTGTGCCAAAAAGTTCATTTAAAAATGAGATATGAAATAGTACACACGTCAATGAAAAAAACTGTTAAAGACTAATGTTGAACACATTTAGAAATTTAACTGGATTTAAAAGAGCCAAAAGTTTAAAATATATATTATATATAAAATTTGATTTGAAAAAAAAAAGACGTCAAAAGCCACGATGAATAAACGACATTAAGAGTTAAAAATCCTTCATTCACTGCGGTTCTTGAAAAAAAAATTTTGAAATAAAAGTAAGTTTTTTTCCATTTTTTTTATATTCAGTTTACATACATTTGCAAAATAAAAATAAATTTTAAAATACAGTTTAGCTTTGGGGGTTCAGACTATAATGAATTAATTTGTAACTTAAGTTATCCTATTTAACAATAAAAATATATTATATTAATATAATATTAAATAACAAAATTATAATTGTTTTCCAAAAGAATATGATGGGAAAACTGTTAAGTTCAGTCTTTAATGAAAATTTTTATATAATCCTTTTATTTGAACAAGGTTCCAATGTATTTGTGTCCCTTTCATTATCTAAGTTGCAGCATGTTTCTTAGCAATGAATTTGAAAACTCAGCCAATGTTTTATTTGGTCACTCAAGTCCACACTTACTTACAATGTCAGACACAGATTTCGTGGTTCTAGGACAATAATTCAAATAGGGCCTCATAATTTGTAATAGCTTTAAAAAGGATTTTACGAAATAGTAGTTAACACTGTAATTCATCAACTATTAATTTTCATTAAGTATAGTAAAATACTAACTTCCAATTGTTTTATTATTACAGCATTGGATTGACAGGAAATTTTTGACTCTTTGTGTCTCAGTAAATTATTAAATATGCACAAATATATGAACATTTAATATAACAAGTGTATAAAACATAATTTGAAGCCAGCAACAAAATTAAAAAAGATAAAAAATAACTAAAAATTAACATTTCTAGCATTTTTTTGTCGGCAAAAAAAAAAACAGTCATTTTGTCAGAGGCTTATGTTTTGCATCAATTCAGTTTTGATACACATCATATAAAGATAATAAACTTATTTAGGTCGTTGTAGAACAAGTGAATAAGCTGAACTCTAGAAAAAGCACTGAAAGATTGTCCCACATCAGGTACAGTGCACAAAATTCAAATATTGGGGGGAAAAATTTAAACATTCTCTTGATAAATTCGCTTAGAACAAACTATTATATATTTAACAAACTTGATTTATTTTGAATTTAGTTATGAAAAACTTTCGAGGCAAAGAAAATAATTTATTACACATTCAAGAATTTTTAATAATTATTTAAATAAAATACATAATTCTTTTGCCAAAATAGTAACAAAGTAAAGAAAAGTTTTAAAATTAAGTATTTAAAAGAATAACAATATTTATATATTCCTGTTCAAAGTTGAGGTGGCTTGAATATACATGAAAGATAAGCTGTATTATGAAACTTAACCTATAATCTAGATAAAGAATTCGTAGATTCTTTTGAAATAGTGTATATGAGAAAGGAAATAATGAGCAGAATCCTCAAAATGGGAGATGTGCTTTCACATGATTGTTACTACAGGATAAAGAATGTCGATTAATCGAGAGTTCGAGGCTTGGGCAATTTTTGCAAACCACTAAAATGATAAGGAAGATTTCTTTCACTGATACAAATTACATACAGGTATTATGTGTGTATGTGATGAGAAAAAAAAAATCTTTGTTAATTATTTCCATTAAAAAACACTTTATTATTGCAAGGAATTTCTATTGGTCCCGAGACAATTGTTCCTATTCCCCCCCCCACCTATTAAGTATGGAATTGCTTGCAACATTAAATAAAAAGAGTCAAACGAAGTTGGAATATCATGAGAGCAATTCTACAAATTTTAGCACACGATTCTTACCAACAGTTCCATAGTCCAACTTAAAATTTTACCAGTTTACAATAATTTCAAATTACTGGTTAAAAGTAGGGTTCATGATAATTAGGAAAACGCATAGATAGACTTAACTTGGACAGCAAAGACAATATTAGCCATAAAATATTTTTGTATGTGGAATGAATAACTTTCAAGAGAAAAAGCCTTAAAAATATTATTAACTATGTTTTTATTTAAAAATTAATAAAATTATAGATTAGCTATATGTACTCTGGTATCAACAAGTCATTCAGCACTGTGTACTAATTTTCTATTTCCAACTTCTTGACTTAAAAATAAAATTACTTAGTAATAGTTTTGTTAAATTAATTATTTTAGTACAGTAGAGAGCCAATTATCTGGACCAAAGCTAATCTAAATAATGAAAAATCGGGACAACTGAACATAAGTAACTTCTCTCGACACTTTTTCCAGGCTTAAGACAGACTGTTATAGTAGTGCCTACTATAGCACATTAAAAATGGCATGTTTAAAAGATTTAACTTTCTTAACAATTTATTTTTTACAAAATGTGTTTCAAGATTAAGAGAGAGGGCATTTCAAAATGTGTTTCAATTCCTTTTTCTATTTCTTGGAAAAAGAAGAAATCTGTTCCCTTACCAGAAACTACAAGCCAGTTACTACACACATTAAAACTAAAGAACGAATGAGAGTTTTCAAGGTCACCAAAGAACAAAAGATGCCATTTTTTTTGTTTACTTCGAGATATTCTGAAAATAATGAATTTTTTTTTAAGAAGGTGAAAAAAATACATAGCTCTTAAATGATCCGGATAATTGGACTATGCGGAAAATCGACGTTTGAATAATCAACACTCTACTATAGCGTTATTTCAATATTGATAAACCACTATAATTCATAAGTCACTAATATTAAATTTAATGATAAAAAAAAGTAAATTGAAAAAAAAAAATTTTTTTTTTTTTCTCTTTATTTTACTTACTTTTTCTCATTCAAAAAAAAAAAAAAATTTTTTTTTAAGCATAAATTCCTACTGTTAACAAAGATATTTCTTTATTAGCACCTTTTCACACCAACTGAAATCACAAAAATATTTTTAGCAGATTTTTGTATACTTGGAATAAATTGGAATTGCTTGCTTAAAGGTTATGTGATTCACTTTTTGAGTTAGCTTCATTTCTTGATTTTTATTAAAGTTTTTAATGAGCTTATTATCCAGTTGCTGCCAAACTTAGCAACTATTTTAACACAAGTACAGGTTCACAAATTTCCCTTATGAATAATAAAATTTTAAAACATAAAAACAACTACATCTACAAAAATTTATTTACACTAAAACTATCTTATTATTATTAGCTGATGTTGCAAGAATGCTATAATTAGATATGACTTTTAGTTCTAGATTCATTGCAAAAGTTCAATGCATATGTAATAGAAATTTTCGGATCTGATTCAATAAAAATCGATTTTAATTGAAAAATCAACAAATCAAATAATTTCCATTAAGTCAGCTAATGAAACAAATTTTGACATAGTCAAAACATTATGTTTTGAAAAAAATTAAACTGTTAGAAGTTATTTTTAAAATGAACAATAATTATATTGTATAAAAATTTGAAACGGAACTCGCAAAGTTATACTTCATATTTCTAGGAGGACCATAATTCACAATGCTGTTACACAAAAAGAAAAAGATACAAAAATTTATTTACATTAATACAAATAATGCTGCAAAAATGTTAGGTAGTTAAATGTTTGCTTCATAGTAAAGTCATTGCAATAGATCAATACAAATATAAGACATTTAAATAAAGAAGTGGGGGATTTTTGAAAGCATTAAATTTACAGACTTTTTTTAAAAATTAAATCATAGAAAAACTTGAATAGTTTTTTTCAAATTACAAGGTACAAAATTTACAATGTAGACACAGAAATAAAATTTTTTAGACAATATTAACTCATAAAAAAAATAAATGTAGAAAAATTAACTAAAAAATAAAGCATTCATTATTTTTAAATTAAAAAAGATAATAATCTTAATGCATATACTAAGTTTTTTAATATAAATCTCATTTAACGAGCTCAATTAGGATTAGAAACATGATATAAACAAGCAAAATTTTGTAATCCATTCAATATCTTACTTTTTGTGATAAAAACTCTTGTTACAATATAAAAAGGAGAAAAAGTTACTGATTTATCCTTGTAATAACTTTTATCTCATCACGGTTTATGCCATGTAAACAACTTTATCAATTCTTAGTTATAACACGCAAGAAAAATAATTCGTTTCAAGCTAGAATTGATAGTATCAAACTTAATATGGAGAAACAACTGTAATATTGAATAAATTTTGCAAATGAAAACTAAAAATTCTTGAATTATTCTTTTCCATAACTAAGCTATCAGAACAAACATGGCGTCCAAAGATTAGTCAATTTCAAAACTCAAATTGTTCACAACAAAAACACAACAAGGAGTTTCACTTTCGGTATCCACAAGAAATCGAAACTTTGTAGAAAGTTTTTACAATAGCACAGAATAGCTTAATAGCACATTTCCAAATATTGTTCAGGTAATCAAGTTGTGACTGTTTTTGTTTATGTAATTAAAACTAGTACCGCCAAAATTCTACGAAAATAAAAGTCCTCAGTACTCCAGTGCACGGTGAACAGTTCAGAAAGTGACTACGTAAATACGGGTTCATTCTGTTTATTCAGTTTTTAAGTTTATTATCCAGATTTTTCTGTATGTAGTTGTAATAAAAGAACTCGGAAATTTCTTCGAGTTTATTCAAAGGTTGTGCCTCATATTTCTAGATGCACAACAGCTTTGCAATTTTTAACTAAATAAATTAAATATTTTTGTTATGATTAAAAATAAATACTGATACTGAAGCATTGGATGACAAGTATTTCAGTTTCATTCCCTATCATGAATTTTTTTATCACATACAAAAAGAAATTATGATATTGTCGTAACTCCAATGCGATAAAAGCCAACCAATGTTCATTGAAAATTATTTTTCAATCATAAGTGATTTCATATTAATGTTATAAATATCTAACATTAATAAAATCAGATTTCTAATGATTTCGTTTATATTTACTGTCCTCTATTTTAATATAATTTCAGTTTATTCATTTCAGTTTTAGTTTTGCTTTCGGTTTCAAGTCTTGCTGCTGTTTCTGTAACCTAAATTTTAAATACATAAACAATCTACGCGCCATGTGAATGGCTTTAAGTGCCAAATTTATTGCCAGCTGAAATGACTTTTGATGCATTCATGCATGTTTTTACTGTAGATATCCAAATAGTTTAGATAATAATGCTTGGAATAATTATGCTATTATTCTGTGCTCTGCCCAATGGAAAATCAAAATCAATCGAGAATATATCTTTGAAAAACAACAGCGTTTATCAAATAACTGAAACAAAACAACTTAAAACTACCGAACATAACTTAAATATTAAATCTGATATGAACATAACGTTAAAAAATGTGCAGAATATTAATTTAAAAAATGATACCAAAAAAATTGTGAAAGTTTTAAATGATATGACGATTAGCAAACACATAGCAGCAATGAATGAAACACAACAAGCTCACATATTATATAAAATCCATGCCACAATCACAAGATCAAAAGATGCCATCTGGGCGACAATTACATTGACTTTTATGTGTGTTTTATTAGTTCTAGCTGTTGCCCAATCTAAAATGTGGAAAGATTATAATGGCTCTGAATCTCAAGGAGTACCGTTACCTAATTTTAATGAAAGAGTTCTATTTAAAGGTGATCAATTGTTTTTATTTGTGTTTATAAATAAGTTATTTTTATCAGCTTTTTTTATTTTGTTTTGTAATTTTTATCAGTTTTTTATAATACAATGTAACGAAAGAGATTAAATGTGCATTAAAAAATTAAACTACACCAATATTTGTTGTATTTATACTGTATATGTTACCTTTTAACTTTAATCACTGAATTTAGCAACTAGATTTAAACATTTATTTTCTAAAAACACTTACCAAAGGTATAGTTTTTATATTGTACTTGACTCTAAATACATAATTCTTGTTAATGCTCAGACGTAACCACAGGGGAATTTTCATTGCGTCTATTAACTAGGTAAATCACTACAAATTATTGTTTATTTGTGTCTCACTACAATACTTTTTTAAAATAGTAGCACAGTACGCTACAAACTACAAAGGAAAAAAAGTATCGACTATGGTAGTTTCACTAATTGCATTTTCGTTACATCCGACCACTGGTTAATGGTGATAGTTCTACATTGACAATTTATATTGAATACCAATCTAAAGTAAGAAGCATGTTATAGTTGTTACATTAGTGTATATCTGTTGGATAATTGGTATTTTTAAAGTACTAAAAAGAATTGCTGTTGTAAGCCTTAACATAGCAAAACAATAAATAATTCACTATAATCTATGTTTAGTTTAAATCTATAACAAAGGCTTGCAATTTGCATTTTATCTTTTATTCCTCTCTCTTTTTTTTGCTTAAATTATGTATATATTTCTTTTAAAAAACACGTGCTTGAAAATTATGCTTATAAGAAATGACAGACAAAAAATAGTTTTAGTAAAATTGTGTCATTCAGTCTTTAATAATGAAAACGAGCTATTAATGGAGATGATTTGCTGTCTTTAAAAAAAGTGTAGCTATTCACAGTCTATCCTGAAGAAAAGAAACAAACCCTATCAGAAGTCTTGAACTCCTCCTTGATGTCATAGTATGAAGTGTCTACTTATTTTTTTTAGTGCCCAGAGTTTGTCTCCATAAGATTTAGTTTGTAACAAAGTTGAAAGTATAAAATTGAAACAATATTGGATATTTTTAAGCAGTGATTCACTTAATTTTTTGTTGTTGTTGATGTGATAGCAATATAGTTTTTTGATTGCGTTATGCAAGCTGCTTGTATATTATTTTAAACATCGGTTTTTGTAAATTGCCCTAATTACTTGAATTAAATAACTGTAGGAATAAATAGTAAATAATAAGTTTTGTTACCTGATTAAATTTATATAACTTCTCTACTGGAAAAATAAAAATGTGTTCATTTTCCCAACTAACTTGTTTTTCTAAGCAAGAGGATCTGAGTTTTATTATTATATATTTAAAATAACTCATAAAATTAATATTTCTACTGAACACCACTAAGCCTCACATAAAGATCAAAATTTTACTGAAATTCATTCAGAAATACTTTTGTTTTCCTACACATCACTCATCTTTATCCACATTTTTAAATAATTTTTTTTCTTCATTACATTTTGTCCATAACTTAAACCATTTATAAGAAATAATAATAAAAAAAAACTTTAGATAAAAATATATCAAATAAACTTTACAGCTCTAGTTAGTGTAAATCAATGCATTTATACAATCCAGAAGAATTAATAAATGGCTCATATTACACTGCCATTTGCTGATGGTAGAAAGTACCACAACCAGGAATAATGTCAATAAAAAATGAGGGATTGATAAATTTAGTATCCAGATTTATGGAAAGAAAAGAATATATAGTACCTATTTTATATGTAAATTTAGAATCCAGAGAGCCAGATGTCTGTATTGTGAGATATTTATTTACCTTTAAGGAGTATCTGCCATGTGAGGTTTAATTATTTTATGTAAAAATACGAGCTTTATCCATTTAGATGCTTAAATCTCAGATCTATACTTAATACTTTTTTGTAAGAAAATTTGTTAACTAATCCTTTTGCTAGTTGTGTGTATAACTAATCCTTTTGCTAGTTTCTGTGAATATTTTTTCTTCGTACTTGTTTCACTGACAAAATAATTTAAGAAAAATTAGTATGTTTTTTTGAGCTGGATATAGTAGATCTAGACAAGATTTTATATGAAGGACATCTATATCTAAATTTTGTTTGATTGTTTCTGCACAAGAAAAAAGTAAGTTTGAAGTACATAAGAAGTTTAGTGTAGGTTAGCTTTCATAATTTTGTAGCCTTGTTAATTAAAACTAATTAAATGTACTTATTTTATTGCCATTAAAAACCTTTTGGTCTTTTTATCCTTGAATTTGTTAAATTTTAATAAATTTTGTTTTTTGCTGTCCTGGAAAAAATAAGTTTCATTTTGCAGAAATGAAACTCCTTGTATTTATGAAATATTACTTATTCGACTTTTGTCAGTCTCTTAATTTATACAAACAATTTATTAACTTTATTTTAAAAAAAAAAATTAATTACCTTGATTTGTATTAGTTTCTTATAGGATACTCTTTTGAAAACATTAAGTCCTTATTAATTGATCAAATTTTATTACAGATGTAATGGAGCGAAGAATGATTTCGTTAAAAGAAATGTTCAAGAAAAAGAAGAAATCAGTATCAGAATTAGAGTCGCTGTTGCCAACCACAGAATGGGAATGATTAAATATTTGATGGAGTGATTTCCTTATATTCTATATTAATTTTATCAAAATAATGCTGGGATAGAAATTTATATTAGAAATAATTTTTTGTTAAAAATTACTTTTATGTCTTTCAATTAAAGTAGGCAGCTTCTCTGTTAAAATTGACAAATTTAAAATTATTAATATTGAATTAAAATAATTATTTAATGGTTGAGTATATGTTTTGTGATGGTAAAAGATAGAAACACCAAATATATGTAAATGTTCACTAAACTAAGTGCTCAATTTAAATTTATATGTTACTCCAAGAATCTTAAAAATCATGGAATTGAAAAAACATACTTTTAATCCTCCAAGCTCTACTTCAGGGTAAGTTTGTATGGAATTTTATCTTTTATACTCGTTTTTAATTAATTAACATAAGATTAGCCTGTTTTTCTGAAAAACAAGCTGAAGCTTGGAGGGTTAAATATTTTTTATTAATTATAGTACTTGGAATGATCGAGCTTATATTTTTTTGTTGTACAATTGTTGTTATGAAAGGTTAGAGCACTATATTTGGAAGTGAAGAGTACTTAAAATAAGTCTGTGTTAATATTTTCAATTTATAAATGAAATAAATCTTTGCCATAATTGAATGCAAAAACATGAATGAAGTTCTTAAAATTGCAGGCTGATATTTGTATCTACTTTAATGTGTAAAATATATAAAAATCAGGTATTCTTTAAATTGTATAGGCCTGAGATCATGAACTTTGTGCAATTAGTAGGTCACGTTTATAAGGACAAAAAAACAAGGTCACACATAATGTTATATATATTACGTTAATTTTTATTTGCAATTTAAAAAGAAATTACTGTAATAAGTACAATTGTAAATAATGAATAAATGTTTAATTTTAGTTTTCTAATTTTCAAAAAATAAATATATACGTAATCTTTTATTTTATATGTAAAACATTAATTTGTTTTCATGTGATGTATAAAAGATATTTAAAATTAATTGTCTAAATTGCCACATAAATGACTTAGAATATGACTTTTTTTCTACTGCTGAGGGCTTTATCATTTCGTTTTAACGTCTGGATTATTGCATCTGTTGAGTCACTACACTAGTTTAACAATATATTATCTTCTGACACTTATCAACATATACAATATCAAGCACCATATCTAACTATATATTATCTAACTATCAATTTCTATCCAAATACGGCTATAACACATTCTCTTTTAAAAGTAAATTGTTTAACAAAATATTCACTTGAAATTTATCAAACTCAAATTATGAAATGAATCTTACACAATGAATATTTGATGAATTGTTTAAATTTTTAGCTTATATATTCGTTTATTGTTTTGTTGCAATATATTCGTTTATTGTTTAGCATTTACCAGCAATAAGCCATCAATAGCTTTCTAATCAATAAACTGAACAGATATTAGGCACTTCTTATGCTTATTTCTGTGTTGAAAATACTATCAATTCTGTATAAGTTCAATAACTAAACATTCCTCTGAGATTCATCTTTATTTAAATAAAAGTTCCATAGTCCCAAGGTGCTCATGTGATCTTCATTTCACCGCCTTTTATTTTTGTACCAGACTTAATTTATAACACTGATATATAATAATCTAGTATGTGTATGGTAAAAATTGCCACTTCCAGGTCTTATACCATCATCTACATTCAACCAACCAATAAATTTATCAATTTGATCATAGAATCTATTCATCTCGAACAAAATTTTAAAAATAAAAACATTTTGAAAATATTTCTATTTTATTACCCCCTCACAAATTAGGCTACTAAATTTCACCATGCTTACTTCACTATGCAGCATTCATTGTTTTTCCAGCAACACGGCACTTCTATTCTATTTAAATCACCTTGTAGAATCGTGAAATAAAACAAAATTAAATTCATAATATTCTTAGTTTTAATCTGTGGAAATATTTGGCAAGTCGTACAAAATCATCAAAGCTGGTTACTGGTTTAAGCTAATTGTTTAGAATATTTGAGTAAAGTAGGAGTTATTTTAATATGATATATATATATATATTTTGTACAATGTCTATGTAATTATTAGTTACTGTATAGAATAGAAAATTACATTTAAGTAAAATAGGTATTTAGGATTATCTTGAAGCTAGACATTCTATCTAAACAATGCCTAAATGTAAACTTGTGTATTTTTATTGTATTTAAGTATTTTTAGACACTGTATTGAAAGATGTAATATAAATAATTTTATTATTTCTATGTAATTTGTGATAAACATTTTACATGCTCCTAGGGATACATGCAAATCAAGTGTTGCGTAATCAGTTAGAACAATACTTAAAATGCCAAATATTGAAGCTTTCTACGTGTTACTAGTGGTGAGATTCAACAAGTATATATCAGTATCTTAGCTGCCATTTTTTATAATTTCTTAAGGTTCTTAGTAGTGGTAGCCATTTAACTATTGATTTTATATATAGTTAGCAAGAATTGTTTTAACTATGTGAATATTCTATATTTTCAAAGAATATTATTAGAACTTTAGGGAGAATATTGTTAGAAATCATATAATTTTTAAAGTTATTTATATGTAGTGGTGTTCAAAATCATTATTAATCAAATTTTATTATACAGATATAAAAAATACTAACATATAGATTTTGTAACCAATATACAATTCGAATTTTACGCATTATAATATTTAAACTTTTAGTCTTTTAATTTGCTACAAAAAGAGAGCATTTCTAAGGTTATTTGTCAACTGTTTGTTTCCAAATACACTCAGAAACTTTTTAAAAACTGTAAAAATACTAAAATATTGTCACTTAGTACATCCATCTACCGTGATGTGCGGAATTTAAAGACTTGTCAAAATAAAAACATGCTGTTTAGTAAAATAAAACTACAGTGGAACTCCGGTTTTACGTTGTCCATTTGGTACGTTATCCCTCTTTCTGCGTCATTTCATGCCTATACCAGTAATGTTAAATTATCTCAGATTTTATATTACCTTTTTTACGAAAATCCCGCCTTAAATGTTTTTCTAACAAATCAAAAAAAAAAATTTCCTCACAAGCTTTTTCTGAGATTTTTTTTTCTAAAGAGACTTGTCTGTCATCTTTCTGTAACTCTGACATTCTTTCTGTTCTATGTTATTGAACTTTCGTCTGTGAGAGAAGATTGACTGGATCAGCAAAGTACGGGAAGGGAAGTATGGAATCTTAAATTTTAAAATTTGCGAGTGGAATTTTTTTCTCTGCCAACTTCAATGTTTGAATCTTCAAATTATCTAATCATTTAAAAAACATTACACTAAAAAACTGGTTAGGTAATCATTTTGTTTTCTTGATTCCAGTGACCTGCAAGATGCTTCTAAAGCAAAAATGGATGTCATAGAAGCTCTGAATTCGATTTCTCTAGTAGTTCAACTTTTGAATTATCCGCTTAATTTTTTTTACCCAGATTTTACGTTATCCCGCTTTGTGCTTTTTATTAACGCTAGGCCTACTGAAAACAGAAAATCGGGGTTCCACTGTATAATCTTTTATTGACAAATCTATGTTGTTGTTTTTTTAATGTTATTTATAATCTTTTTCCACTAAGTTCTTCCTATATTTTAAATTACATAGTTTTTCCTAAACTAATTCCTTACTACTTTCTTACATAGTAAAAAGGAAATGTGTTTTTTTCTTAATGCATTATTAAAATGTTAATTATAGAAGTTATTAATCAAATCAACCTTTTCTTCATTAAAACTATTTGTATATCCATTATAGTACATATGCTATCTGTCTCATAGAAAAGTAAATATTCTAAGATTATTTTCAGAAATGTATGCAATCTACTTTATTTTTATAGAATAAAATATGGATTGCAAAAGGCATTGAAATTTTGCCTGGAGGTTTTTGCTTTTGCAAGGTCTCTAATTCATGGCTACATAAGGATAGTTTTAGTCACTCACAAATGAAGCTATTAAGACTACCGTTATAAAAGTAAACGTAAGTAATTAGACATGTCCACCTTACCATCGCATCTTTAATGTACTGGCATGGTGGGCATATGAGGTACTTTTTTTTCATTGGGTACTTTATTTGGATACCTTAAAACTGGATGACAGTATTTAGGAGTCTGGATATTGTTTAAGTTTTTGAAAAAAAAAAACTTTATTTTTTTTTTGGGGGGGGGGGATATATACCCTCCTCATTTGTTTTTGTTTATATTTTGAAAATTTGAATTCCATTAATGCATATTACTTAACGTCATTGTTGTTGAATTATTACTTAAGTGTGTATAAGTTGTATTTTTTGTTATTTATGCATTTTTAAAATGAATTATTACATAACAGTTGTAAAATGAATTTATGATTAGGATGGAGCTTCAGTTTTAAATGTGTGTATAATTTTTTATTTAAAAATTTTTCTTAATTTTTTAAATGTACAGTGTGCATTCTCTCAAAAAACCTGAATAACTTTTGATTTAATAATTGTATTTTCACATACTAACTTGCAGTCTTATTGATTCTAAAAGTAGTAATAAGCATAAAAGATATTTTAAGTTACAAAATTAAATATGAAAACACATTTTCCCAAAATAAATATACTAGTTTTTCCCCCAACTGATTATTATTTACGATTCCTAAAATGAAGATATTTGCAATCTGGAAAATATACTCCCAGCAATTTATTAAGAGGTATGGAAATGAGAACCTTAATTTTAAATATACTTAAAAAAATACTGAAACTATTTTAATTTTTTTTTAACTATAAATTTTTTTAAACTATAAATGACAACAAACGAAGTTGGTTAAACAGTTTGTGAGCAATAAAACTTTAAAAAAAGAATGAAGTTATTAATAATTCAACCAAATTATTGATTTCGTCATTTAAAGTATATTTTGAACAATATTAAACTGAATAATACAAAAGTATTTTTTTACGAGATAACATTTAGATAAACAAGTTTTATAATTTTGTGGAAATTTTTTTTTAGTTGTTTTAGGTATATAATAAATTTAAAAAAAATTTATATAAAGGGGCTTTAACTCTCAAGTGCCCTTCTATGATTTGAACTAACCTGTTAAAATCATATTTTCCAGTTTGTCGCTATAACTTATATTTTTAGGAACCAACATTTTTCAAAGGAAGTATGTTTTGTATTGTATTTTGTAATTTAAAATATTGCTTTCTCAAAATAATTTTCATATTTCAGATATATCCTTTAACTATTAATATTACATCATAAAACCTTGATCATCCAATTAAAAGTTATTTCTGGTGGGATTTTTTGTGCACTGTATATAGTTTTATGAGCTTTTTTGTTTTTAGATTTCTGCTATCATGTTTGTTTTGATATGCTTTATTTCTTAAATTGTTGATCTAGAAAGGCAATTTTACATAAAAACTTTCCCACAAGTAAAGTATTCCCAATGAATAATAATAAGAAAAAAAAATTACTAATTTGTTTTGTGGGAAAGCAACAAGATTTTAATCTTTATTGACTTACTCAGTTCTAGGTGTGACAATTTAAGGTTTAAAAGTAACAAATATCTCAAGATTTCAAGCATGTGTTCATTAAAATTTGACAACATTCTTTTGTAAAACCATTTTATTTTTATTTACTTTTATAAGCTTCTATATTCCATTTAATAAAAAGCTGTGTAATCTATCTCTTAATATGGAAAGAAAATTATTTTATATGCTGATTTTAGAAATATTTGGCTGCTTGTATTTTTTATACATTTATACTAATTGTACATATTTGAACAATAAATCTAAACTAAAGAATCAGAAATTTTTCTACATTTTGTATTAGATTTGTATGTTGTTGCTACATAGATTTGTTATAAAGTATTAATATAATGCATTAAAATGAGTTATATATTGCAAATAAATTATTATTTACAATCTTGTTATTTCTTTGGGTTTGTTTCAGAATCAATGTAAATGCTGATATGTTGTTCTAATGCAACTTGCCAAATACCAGAAATCCTGCTGGGCAAAAGTCAACTATCATTACATACCAGGGTTGGGTTTTTGCCGTCTAAAACTGGTTTTTGACATGACAGTGGTAAAAACTGTCAAAAACCTACTGTTTTCTTTAATTTATGGCATATAGCGGACAATATATTATTTTCACTTAATTGACTTTATAAATGAATGTTGTAAATAATTGCTATTGATTTTGCAACTATATACATGTATTCTTATAGAAGAATATACATTCATACAGAAATATTGTAATATACTTATTGAAAATAGTGATACTTAACTTTTATCATTATTTATAGCTTGATTTGCAAAGGATTGAAAATTTTGCACTTCTTAATTGTTAGACATAAACAAACAAAAAAACTTGGAACTATTAATAAATTCAAGAACTAAAGAGAAGAATTTAAAATTTGGCATTTCTTAAATATTAGAAATAGCTAATAAAAACTTTCAAAACTTGTAACTACTAACAAACTCTAAGTCAGGATTGACTTGACATTCTTCAGTAATGTAATATGCCAAACAAAATGATGCTTGAAAATTTTGTTTAGTATCTTAATATTTTACTTCAAATAGTATGATTTGATATAATCATGTTGGAAAAATGCAAAAATCTGTTCTTAAATATCTTTTAGCAACTTTTTTTCTAATTTTATTGCCCAAAAATGAATTAATTTTAAATCATAAGCAGTTAAACTCAAATTAAAATGCAGTTTTCTCAAAACTATGGGTTTTTGACAGTGATTTGCAAAGGATTGACATGACGGTAAAAACCATGGTATAAACTGTCATGTGTCAAAAACTTGCCAACCCTGTTACATACATATTTAATAGTAGCTATTCTTATGTTTCATGACTCTACTTTTTAGAATATATTTTTCTACTTTTTAAAGCATATTTAACTCTGAACTTGTTATCTTGAAAACTAATATAAACAAGTTATCAAATATTTCTAACTATCTTGTATTATATTCAGTCATATAGTTCAGATTGCTACAGAGATTTATAATTGTGTTGTTATCCTGTCACATTATATAGGATTATTTTTAAATGCCAAAACTTTTTACATTTTGGTTGGCAGTATTTGCTTCCTTATATAAATATTTTATTACTTTAAAATATAGCAACGTACTTCTTGACCGTATTTAGTATGTTAGAAAAGAATATCAATAGTAAAATTAAAATAAATCATACATATTAATTGCACTTATTTATATTTTCAGTTATTTACAAAATTTTCAATTTCTTAAAAAATTAAAAAAATTTGCCAACATAAATTACAAGTATATAAGTTATATACATAACAAGTATATATTTAGACTATAATGTTGATGTAAATTCTTGTTTATAAAGATCTGCTATCAAAGAGGTTGGGATATCATCCAATTCGTTACAAACATCTGATATGCAATCATCTAGTAAGGATTCTGAAACCCTATTTAAAAAAGAACATTTTTAAATAATTTTAGCACTTGAAACAAAGCATTTTTTTTTTACTTTTCTAATTCTAAGTATTAGAAAACAAGGCTACAGTTTTACTACAGAAAATACAGGTAAGTCAAGCTTGGAAAAAAAAATATTTCATTTAAAATCAATAGAAAATAGTTTTGTATAGCTTCATTAAAACAATATACAATTTTTTTTATGTTCTCCATTAGACTCTTGCTAATGGAAATTATTTTAAGAAAGTATATAACTTAAAAAAAAAAACAAAAAAAACATGTAACAACTAACAAAAAAACAGGTAGTACTTTTTTACACAACTGTCCACCCGTTAATACACTGATTAAAGCACTGAACTATCATAGTAAAGGACCAGGTTATTTATCACCTGTGTTAACTTTAAGTCCACCCAGTTTCATATTGATGGTATGACCTTGCTAAGAAAGTAAAAGTGGATGGTGCACAATGAATATCATCGTGCTTTTGGTTTTGAAAAATATTATGTTTCAAGCACTGGAAACATGTCTACTGTTATTTCCTATTTAAATATTTTTGAAGCGCATTTAGATTTTAATCAGGTAATGGACTGAAATTTATTAGTAATGTCATTTTAAATTTTTGGGCTTTGATTATAAAGCCATAACAGAAAATTTTCAATTGCTCTTCATATTTTGCTTGATTCAGCGAGACAAGATCAATATTTTAATGTTTTTTTAATAATTCATAACAATAAAATACATGTTTAACTATATGAAAATGAAGTTGATTCCATACAGAGGTGGAATGTAAAATAATATTTACCATTTTCAATTTTTCACATAATTTTGATTAAACTGTTCATAAATTTCAAATATTGTTAGTGTGACAAATATTTCCAACAGAAAGCAATTAGCTATGGTATTTGCTTTATTTGTGAAGTGAAAAAATTAAAATAATAGTTTATCAACTTGCAAAATTTATATTTATGTGCACCATCTCATTTAATGTAAGCTATAAAAATTGTCTATGACTAATGAAAAGTTTAAAGAAAGTTGGTTTTGTTATGAATAGGTTTTTTTTTTAAATAGAAATTACTCAAATTCACAAAAGAATCTTGCAAGATGCATAATAGTTCATTATCTTTTACAAGATAAGTATTCATTATCTCTAACAAGATGAAATTTCTTTTATGAAAGTAAAAATAATGTTTTATTCTTAAAAATTATCTCTTTTTTTTTTCTTAGTGTTTTTCAAATAATTTTTTAGTACAAATTATCTTCAGAAAAACCAAGAGATTTGGCACATATATGTTAGTAAAATTCGAATAAATAAAGTAAGAAAATAAAACTTACATATTTGAAAGAGCTATAGGGTCGAAATTGTGACTTTTAGCTCGTTCAATCCTCTTTAAATACTGAAAATAGAGTTTTCGTTGTCTACTAACTCTTTGTGCCAACAGTGGATCAGTATGTAAAGTTCTAAATGGTTTTGGCGAAATTGGCTTATTAATATTAACTTGAGCTTCTTTATCATTAGTTGGAGCTGCTTGTTTGTTCACATTTGTATGACATTTTGTATTTTTACTTTGATCATCAGAAACTGTAGGAGGGCTTTGTGATGTCTTTTTCAATGAACTATAAATTGAAGAAGAACATTTTTTAAATGCTATTTTTACAACTAATATGCATTACATTTTGCAGAAAGATTAAAAGAATAATCATTAATTTATGCCATTAACACTGCCATTTTAATTAATCATTAAATTCAGTGCAAATTTAACAGTTTAACTTGAGATTCTAAAGAAATTTACATTAGCTAAATACATAGATTGGATATAAATTAACTAATAGTTTTTTAAAGTTTATGAAAATTCTAAATATTGTTATAGGATTTTAGAAACATTTTCTTCAGAACATAAATACCATGAAAAAAATTATATTTTTCGATAATATAAAATTAAAAACTAAAATAAAATAACATTTTAACACCAAACATCCTTAAATAAAACAAGTGAGCACATGTAGGTATGAAAAAGGGCAGCTTCTTCAAGCATAAGGCACAATTCAAAAAGATATTTCACCTACAACACTATATACTCTACTATATTGCAGACATGTGACTACTAGAAGAAGAAATTATCTGACATTTTTTTAAAAAATCTTTTGGTACAAAGATAAATAGCACTGTCATTTTTAGGCATACATAAATGAATGTTTATATACATGTTACGGTGAATATGAATAGTTGGTTATTATTAATACTTACCAGTCAATATTAATAACTAAATAAGCTGGTTAAAATGAATAATTTAAACAAATTTATCACATTTACTGGTTATTATTAATAATAACCAATGAAGTTTGCTCAATGTCATTCTTTCACCTTTTTATTGGGGATATTTCCGTGTTGTGACCTGCCATGCCAACTACAATCACTAAGGCGTAAAATTGATTTCAAACTGGAAAAATTAAAAAGAAAAAACAAAACATGTAGGTGTTTGCCTGGGAGTAGCTATGAGTTATCAGGGGTCTGTCCAGGCCAAATTAACTACCGTTTAGTGGTACTTTCACAAATTTAACTAAAAAAAAACCAGTAGCTTCACAAAATACTTTTTCTTAAAATTTTTTTTTTGTATCCCGTAAGAAACGATAAATGCATATTTTTGTGTTGATTTTTTAGTATAATTTTTAATTTTCACAAATTATGTCTAATTTTGCATTAAAATAGGTACCTCTCAGAAAAACCTAGACAGACCCCTGGTTATATAGTTTGAGTTGGCCCCTTTTTGATTTCTTAATTTTTTTTTTAGTTTATTGTGGGCCGCTGCCCGGAAGTTGCGAAGATTTGGCAGTTATTCTACCAGAGATCATATTATACAGACATTTTTACACTGATATTAATATTGACCGTTTAGTATTAATAACCAGATTTATTACTTTAACCGTTACATATATATAGAAAAAAATTTCATATTCCACCTTTTTAATTTTTTTGCAAGTCATCATTGCATAAAATAAAAAAAAGATTCTAAAAACTGTGAAGTCTGTGGGCAATTACAGAAAAAATATTAATGATAAAACCAAGTGTATTTACAACATAATCAACTTCAAAAAGGGGCTAATTAAATGTGCATTTCAGTATTCACAGCTTATAATAAATAATATTGCATTAAAAATATCGATATTTAAAAAAAATAGTGAATACTCAGGTGTGCAATCATAATAATGATCAAGTGCATGATTTTAAAAAAATCATATGAAAATCAACAGCATAAGCTGAAAAAAAAGCCCTATCAAAATGCTACCTGGATTTAGAGCAAATCTACCTCATCAAAAAGTAATTACTCAAGCGTGCGATTTGAATTTTTCATTTTAAAAGTAACATAGTGTAAAAATATCAGAATTTAAAAAGCCACTTAGATATTAGTAATAATGTGAAAACTAAAAAAGTGTATCGAAAAAACAGTGGCATTAAGCTTTTTTTATGCCACTAAAGCAAGAAATGTAAGGCTTCCCAAAAATAAATCTTATGCAATTTATTTTTTATTAACTTTTCTTTATCAAATGCCAGTCACTTGACCGCTAGAGTGTTAAACAACAAACTTTCCAATATTTTTTCATTCAACTAGAGAAAAGATAGAGCAGGGCATTCATCAAGATGCAAAGCAGTTATATCCTGGCCAGTCATACAAAGAGAAAATGTGGGGGAGTCAGCAATGTTAAACAGAAAAGATGGGCACAAATACAATCACACCCCATTAGGAGATGTTTTATAAGCCTAATTGTGATTTCTTTAAAAAAATTTTTTCATAAGAAATACCTTAAGTCAAAGAAAGGGATTTTCTTGATTTTTGCACGAGTCTCTGGAGATGTCTGATGCAGGTGAATATTCCTTTTTGAAGAAACAGTATTTCTTTCCTAAAAATATTGATTATAATCAACTCTCAAATCAATCAAAAATTGTAAAATAAATGTAATATTAAATGAAAGAAATTTTTTAAAAAAAAATTATAATTATGATATATTTTGTTAGTAGAAAATAAGATATCCACATTAATAACAATATTTTAAATTTTTTTTTAACAAGGAACTACCATAAAATATAAACAAAAATTTAAAAAAAAATTAGTTATTACACAAAAAGAATTTAAAGTCATAGCATATATTCATAATGGCCAAGGTTAATTTATTTCAAATAATGCTTTATAATTCATGCATAACCTTAACATGAGGAAAAAGGATATTTTGAAGTCTCTTCTAATTTTTCCGATTGATCATATTTTAAAATTTAATTTGCTTCAAATAAGTCATAATCATAATCACTCAGAACATTACTATTTTTGTAAAAAAATTCAAGTTATTACTTACAAAAATTTAAAATTTTGAATACATGTTCAAAATAAGATTATATACGACAGCAAAATTTATAATTTTTAATACAAAACCTTAGCTTGATTTTTTTGTTGTAATGAACTTTAATCCTTGTATATATTAGTGTAGTATTGTCTATTACTTTGATACAGGAACATATAAATTGCTTTTGAAATAATAAATTCTCTCTAATTTATTACATTATTGCAGCTTGTTATTTAAAAAAATTTTTCTAAACAATATAGATATTGTATCCTACTCCTACACCTTTCAAATCAATTATTTTAAAGTTTGCTAATTTCTGATATTTGTATATTTTAATTTTATGAACAGTAAATATAGAAATTTCTTTATCTATAAATTCAACTTATGTTTTAAGACTTTTCAATAGCTTTTTTTAAATAAGATTTTTTTTTTTAGTTTTTAAAATTCAGACTTCTATAGAAGTTTAGAAGCTTTTGTATATTATTTTTACCAATGATAGCTTTTCAAATCTTGAACATTTAAAAAAGAATAAAATGGAAATTCCAGAAATTTTTTTTTTTTACTACAGTTTTTATTCAATGAATTCTAAACCAAACAAACAACTTTTTTCTATAACTCAATAGTTATAAAGAAATGTACTATAATTTTAATTTTTTAAACATACCTTTACGGGATTAGAACTTATTTTTTCAAGCTTCATAAACCTGATTCTATTCAAAGCTAGTATTTCTTCTCCCAATAAATCATCTACTATGCCATCTATAGCAGTTTCAATATTTTCATCCTGCATATTTAATTTAATGATTTTGTTAAAAATAAAAAATTATTTACTCAGAAGAACAATGTTTGTTTATTCAGTAATTGCAGTACAATGTTTTATATAATAACTTACTCTATCAGTAGGAGGCTCCAGCTGAATCAAAGTTTTCTCTTCTTTAGATTTTGCAATGGGGGCTACTTTATTTTTCCTTCAATAAAATAATATAAATGTTGTAGTTTAAAGGATTGATTTGCCTATGGAAACAGAACTCATCATTTTGCAATGCACCATGCAAATTTACCCTAAATATATTTAGACTAATTGGAAAATATATATTTCATTACTCAAATAGCCTGATTTAATTTAGACAACTTGCAATAAGACTAGAGTAGTTGATAACCTTTTTAAGGCTTATTGCAATGAGTCTAAGCTGATAAAATAATTTTTACAACATTTTTAAATTAGGATTAAGACATAAGGACTGCATGTAACAAGCTTAAAAAGTTACTGATTGATTATAAAATATTGAACACATTAGAAGTTTTTTTTCTTCTTAAAAATTTCCTATGAGCTGCACAATCAGTCTTCCCAATGAGCAGATCTAGTGCGCTCTCCAGAAGTGGTATCCACTCTTCCAGGACCACCACAATGGGTTAGTTACCGTTGGCCATGTTAATTTGGACATCTAGTTTCTGCCACACTAGATGGCGGCACCGAGACTCTATTTGGATGCTAAAGTGCACTAGGAATTTAATTTTGCCGGAAATGCCAAGAGCCAATAAGGCACTCCAGGGATTTTTTACATGCCGCATAATCATACGACATGGCCGCTGAGGATTTTCTGCTTCCCGAAAATCCGGTGTCTGGGGATTGAACCCGCAGACTTCAGCTCAGAAGGCCGATGACAAACCAACAGCGCCACCCACACACATTAGAAGATGCTGATCACATCTGGAAGAAGCTGGATCTTTCAATTAGCTCACATAATATACAGTATAACCTCAAAAATCTAGACAGCTAAGAGAATGAAATTCGAAAAATTCCTGATTTTAGATATTTTTCTTAAGTTAATAGAGAAGTCAAAGCTATGGGCCCAAAATTATAAAGAAATGTGCAAATCATTTTGCCTTCATGTTTTGCATAATTAGATAAAGTTAAAAATATCTATGATGAGGTTTTTTAATCTAATTGATCCTACAACCCTCAACATTTTCAAAACCTAATAATAGAAAGGAAATACTTTAGGAAACTATAGAGTCTCACTAAACTCACACTAACTAATTTATGGAATATTTGCAAAATTTATAAAAACAATATTTTCATTCAAGGTTTGATTTTACTAAAACTTCAATTGGTAATGTATAATTGTTGCACTTTCACAAAAAGCTTAGATTATATGTAGATAGAGATTAATGCCAATTTACTACAAAACAATATATTTTTAATTTACTTTCACTAAAAAGATTTTTTCTCATTTTTACTAAAATAATAAAACTATTCTCCACTTTTTATCAAAACAAAAATAGTATTATTTCAAAGCAATAAAATGAAATAAATTTATTGTTTTTTTTATTACAGTGTATCTTTATTTTCTGTTCACGAGAAGCTATTGTGAAACAAATAACTTGTAGCACAATATATATAATAATAATAAAATAAGATTAAAAGTGTATTACAGCACAACAAAAAATAGAAGAAATTTTAAACACCTTATTTTAGTAGGAATATTTTGCGGGAGCTTTTTACTTTTCTTCATAGACGTTTTTGTTTTATTTTCCAAAGACTTTGCCGTAGTTTTACCAATAACTTTGGGCTTGTTTATTAATGAGGATAGATAGGCATTTCTAGATATTAATCTTTGTTTCTGAAAATTAAGCACAAAAATATAATTAGAAGTAATTATACAACAAACCAGCATATTGAAAATATAACAAAACTCCTTACTGTAAAATTTTTTTATAAGCAATTTCAAAAAAGGCTAATTGGAACACCACATCATTAAAAATTTGGTGTTAAATATGCTGAACACTCAAAATGGGAGATTCATTGCTGTATTATAAATTAAATTTCTTTTTCTGATAAGAGCATTTTCTTTTAATCTTATTAACAAGAGTGCACCATTTCTAGCATAAAATAATTTTTATTTTCACTATCAACTAAATTTGTTTACAATTAAGGATAGTTAAAATTAGAAAAGTCTACAGCAGTTGGATTTTTGATATTACACTCTGATTTAAACCATCAAAACCTGGTTAAAACCATTAAAAATCTTGGATGATAACGACAGTGTCACTATGTATGAAGTTCTTCATTTAAAACAATTTAAAATACAGGCATACTAATATATAAATATCTGCTAATATAATTAACAATAATTCTACTTAAGTAGACATTATAATTAAGGAAAAAAGACACAAAAATTTTACTTTATATTCATATTTTCTTTTTTTGAGATCTCTTATCGTTTCATGGAGTTTTGAAATCAACTTGTTGACATCTTTACATAGTGACCTGATTATTATTATATAGAGGAAAGAGAATTTTTTTTTTGTTCTTATAATTTTGAAGAACGTTCTTCTTGTTAACTTAAAAGTCTCATTAAAACTGCACGAAATTCAAATTATAACATTGGAATAATTCATAAACTAAATCAACAAAAATTTTAATAAAATAACAAAGGATTCCAAGCAATTCACAATCCTAGTAATTTTACAACTTTTAAATTACTAGAAGCCTTGCCTACATATTACCTTAATAAGTAATGTTATGTTGGCATAAATAACTATTAGAATATTCGTATAGTTTATCAGAATAGTTCTTTTTATGCTTTTCACTGTTATCTTAAAAGCAATTTAATATACATAGAGGTTCTAATGGATCTTTTGTAAGCATATAGTGATCTATATTTCAAGCTTTCTTTTTTCAAGACATTGTCTCTCCAACTTTTCACCTTATGGGGAGAGTAGATACTGCTAATGTCAACCTTCATCTTTGAAAAGGTACCCCAGCATAGAATCAAGTTAACATGTCTTATATACTAGTGAATTGGAATTTTATTTTTGTAGTGGCAGACACACTATAGCACTCCCCCACCAGAATTTTATCTGTAATAGAATTCTATGAACGGGATACCACTAGTTGATTAATTGCTGTTTTGTGAGTAGCCGGGAGAGCTCTATTAAGATCATCATACTTTTAAATACTGATCCTGGTTGCTCCTGTGATGCGTATGTGCCAATCAAGTGTATGTGTTGTGTGTGATCGAGACTGAGAAGCAACAGAGTGAGGAGAAGGATAATGTCACAGTCACATGTAGCAAGTCAACTGTTCAATGTGGACCATCCATCAAGGTAGGCGTGTTCAGATCGAAGTGGGCGCTACTGTCAAGATAGGCGTATTCAGATCAAAATGGGAGTTTCTGTCAAGGTAGGATGATCATATCACGTCCAGGTCATCAATATGGGGAGAGTAGGTATTGCCAATGTCAACTTTCATCTATGAAAAGGTACCCTACTATAGAGTCGAGTTAACATGTCTTATATACTAGTGAATTGGAATTGTATTTTTGTAGTGGTAGACACACTACCATCTTTTCTTAAGCTATTAAAAAAATAATTAAGATAAAATTATTTCTTTAGTAAAATAAATGTTATTATACTGTATTTAAAAATTACACATTGTATGAAAGCATTATCTTAAGTACACTCTTACTTCAAGATTAGGAGGAAGGAAAAATCCTTTATTTCGAGGACTTGGAGCAGATTGTGGTTTAGTTATTTTATGTGCTGCAGATGAATGAAGCCTTTGAAGACTGCTTAGAAGACTAGCTCTTATTATGTTCTGTCGCTGCTCTATTGTAAAGCAAAAGATCAATTATTGTTTTTAACTTGAAACAGAGTAAAAATAAAATAAAGATTCTTTGTAACTGGCTGATGTCAAAACATTTATTCCACATCTGTACTTTGATATTTCACTCATACATGGTAATAAGTCATAAGATTTATGAAATCATAAACTTTTTTAATTTAAAATAACCTTAAAGGCTTTATTTCTAATTATTTAAGAAAATTAAAACATTACCATTTACATTTTAATGCAATTTTCACTGTAAACCATTTAAATTTTCTTTTATTCAAGTAGAAAAAAAGTTTATATTTCAAATTTAAAATATAAGTTTCTAATATTCGTAGGGAAAATTTTTCTAAAAATTTTAGAAGTTTCCTTCTTGATGGTCAATTTAAACATGTAGTAATCTAGACAATTCTAAACTTCATGTGGCATAATGTCTATTAAAACTTTTAACACATATTTTAATACATATTACTGAATTGCACATTACTACAGATTATTTTTAAACATATTATTATGCATTCCTTGTTAAATCACTACAATGATCTTGTAAGCATTGTTAAAGAAAAAATTAAAAAAAATTAAATTATGAACCTTACCACCCAAGAGGTTTAATGTTGATTCATTTCCCAAAAGTCTATTTTCTGTTATGTCATTTTGAATGATTGCCTAAACAGAAAAGGATAGTTAAAATTTTAAAAAATAAATAATAAATTATATTGCAACATCTCAATAATATTGCAACTTAATTTACGTGATACGAATGGGTCCGTTGGGTTATACGACAAATTATAATAGAAATTCAATATATATTCGTGTTGAATAGCAAGACTATTCAACACGCCTTCAAGTATAGTTCGTTCCCCAGGAGTTGGCACTCGGATCCTCTTCCTAGGATTAAGAGTTTATTTCAGCGCGGGAGTAAGAGGAGAAACGTCTCTGCCCTTGAAATTGAGACAACCCTTAATGCGTGCCAAACGCAAACAATGAATTCCTTATGTCTCAAAAAGGACAAACTATTCACTTAAAAGAGAGAAATATCATCAAATTTATGAAATATTTAATGTTAAAAAAATACACAAAAAATTGTGAAATAAATATTTTTGTCATACGGTCGCCAAATAGCAACCCTGTTCAGGATTGTTCACATCCTTCTCCCAAAAATAGCGAAATAGTATCGTCGGATACCACGTGATAAAGGCGGAGCCAAGTGCCAAGTCCTGGTGAACGAGCTATAGCTGCTTCTTCTACCATACAGTGTTACGAACTGAGCAAGTCTGGTCACATAACTCAGTGCAAAAGAACTGGTGATTTTTCTACCAGTAAACTAGACCACAAGCATTGCAAACGGAGTTGGCCCAGTCACGGTTAATGGAGAATATTAACTGCTTTTCAGAAACATAAGTTGAACATATTTTGTTGAACTCAGAAATGTTTATGCATTTTGAAAGCGGAAACACTTTTAGTTTTTTTTTTCTAAAAGAAGGCACAACTCTAAATCAGTTAAATGTAGATATCATTAATTAACTTTTGTTGAGACAAGAAAAAATATTTGAGATTTAGGGAAACATTGCATGCAAGTAATATCAAATATTACACTACCTTTTTATGTATTCTAATACTAGGAAACTAATTTATAACATTTTTAAAAAAAAGTAAATTTAAAAAAAAATATTTATTTATTTTCATATACATTTCTTGAACTTGTTATAGAAAATAATTTTATTATTTAAGTATTGTAATGATATAATTTTTCTTTTCTTCAAAAAGACAGTGTCCAACAGCAGGCTCAGCTAGATTCCCTGGAAACATTGACATAATGCGTAAATTTCACTCTTTGATAAATAAATTTACTGCTAAACCAAAATATTTAAATGTATGATTTGACTAAACAAAATTATTAATTATTCTTACTTATCACAAAGTAAATGGCTTTTTTATAGCAATGTTTTCATTACATACGAATACACTGTTGACAAAAAAAATTTACCAAAAGAAATCGTTTCACCTAAAAATATTATGCAAATTGCAAAAGAGTTAAGACTAACTATCTCTAAATTAAAAGATACTCTTCCGAAAAAAGAAACTCCTTTAAAAGCTTTTAACTACAGAATATTATTAGTATTTAATATAGCATATTAACTAAATATAACTAATTTATCTCAGCAAATAATCAACAATATAAAAATATTCATGTAATGAAATATACATAGTTGATTTTTAAAAATATTAAAAATTACGATAAACTTAGGCGAAAGAAAATAATTATTTACCAAAAGTATGACTTGCAGTTTTCATTATAACTAAACATACACCACTGGAAATGATTCTAAAATTTTGGTATATTTTCACACTTAAGATATTCATAAAACAAAAAGGTTTTTTTAAAGTATACATGCACAGTTCTACATCAATATTTAAAAAATTGCATCAAATATAATTTTGATGTATAAAAATATTAGACATATAGAAATCAATAGATACGAAACAATAATTCATACCTTTTCCTCTTTTTTGTAATTAAGCTGCATATCGGCTACAGTAAGTTTAAGTTTCTCTAATTCAGTTTCTATGTTATTTAAAGATTTTGAGAATGGTCTTTCTTGAACTCTTTTAACAGATGCATGCTGATCTAAAAACACAAAACATCTAAGAATTACTTTTTTAAACTATATATATGCAGGGGTGATTGTGAGCCCAAGTCAGAATTCCGGACATTTTCTTGGGTTTAAAAAAAAAACAGTTTAAATTAGAAAAAAATTTAAACAAGGTTTTTTCCTTTTTCTAAATATTTCTTAGTTTACTTAAAATATATTTAAAATTGTTCACATACCTATACCATTTACACATACTTATGATGACCTGGAGAAGTAATTAAAATTTACAAATATGTCTTTCTTTCTTGAGTTTATGATTATAACAACTATTTACTGATAAAAAATGAATATTAATCATGAATATAAGCTTATAAAGTATCTCTCTGGCTCTCCCTTACAAACAAATAAAATAAACTGTGTTTTTAAGTTCCACCTTTGAAAATTTGATTTCCGGAAACTTCTGTGATCAATTATTTTCTGAAACATCTGGACCTTCGATCTCCGGAAACTTCCGAATCACTGTTAGCGAAAAATCCGGAAATCCGGATTTTTTCCGGAGCACAATCAGCCCTGTATATGATGTGTTCTGTAATTACACCATTTAATATACATATTGTAAATGAAAATACAAGATCTACAATTTAGGGGAGCACAAACTTTTGGAGTAAGGAGCCGCATACATATTTAGTCATGTCAGCAGCAACTATTATAATTTTTATCAAAGCATTAGTGCTCTAAGCACTAAATTCTTTATTACTAAACGTCGTAAAATATTTGCAGAAAATTAAACACTTTTAATTATTTGCATTTATTCCAAAATAAAAAACAGTTTTTTTCAAAACTTTTTCCATTTTTCATAAATATTGAATCATTTGATATATTTGATATATGGTGGGGAAAATATAAATTTAGACAAAAAAAAACTGTAGTGCTTACACAATGAAAGTGAAAAAAAATGAGTAATATACATTTGAATTAAATATTTTTATAGAAGAAAATTTATAGCGTTTTAACAAAAACTAAGCATTAAAACAAAACCATTATAGAACAAAATAAGATTCAATATTTATTTGGTATTGAATCTTATCAGATACTATTTATGTTTCTTGAATTATAAGAGGTCTTACAAGATTTAAATAAGAAACTTTTTTTTTGCTTTTTCCAAAAAAAAAATCACCCAAGATAAAAAAAAAACATTTAAACAAAATAAATTACAAGCAGCAAGCAGTGTGATAAGTCAGATGCACAATTTAAAACTCGCAAGTTGTAATATCTTAATAAATGTATCAGAATTTTAAAAACTCTATGGAAATTATTAATTATAAATGCCAAAAAGTGATTGAGAATCCACTTGGATTTATGATGAAATTGATAAAAATATAGCAAGGCAAAGGGTGATTACTCAAATTCAAAATTCGTGCATTGTAATATCAGATTAAAAACATTAGGTCTTATAAAACTATGTGGAATTTTGTAGCAATAACAATTAAAAAAGCGATAGAGAAACAGCATAGATTTATTTTCAAAAATAATGAATCCACTATATTTATTAGGAGGTTCGCAGATGATGAGCAAACATCAAAATCTTGAAATACATATGATATAATTACGAAAATGCGTCAAACCTTGCATCCAAGATTTAATGCTGGACTAAGATGACCAGATTCATAAACTATGCTTTGAGTATGAATATTGGTGAAGCGTCTTCAGAAAAATTTTGCGATTTGAGAGCACCATATATTTATACGTGTAATAAAGATTTTTTTAAAAATTCATAACTAGTATCAGGTGCAGAGCCATCTTCAAACGCGATTTCATTACTAAGCAGTTTTGAAAAATATCATTCAATATTCTATCGGATTTAAATTTGTTAAGTATTTGCTAAAATTATTTTAAGAAGAATATTGTGGTTTTATTTGTTAGAATTAGCTTGGCACTTTTTGTTTATATTTGCTGAAAAACAACTTTTTCTCGCTTTAAAAGCATGCAAATTTCTGATATTTCATTACTAATTTTTTAAAAAAAATATGCGTCGGAAAATTTTGAGGACACTTGCTAGAATTCTTAAAACATTCTCTGTCCTCAGAGTTTAAAACTTTTTTAGGACAAATAATGAAATTTGAAGACTCCTCTTAAGATTTTAGGATGCCTGACAACTTTATAGTAAATACTAACTTGAAGAATCAAATAAAAAATAGATCCAAATCTTATCACATTGAGATAAATACACAGGAAGATTTCTGTGCCAGTATTTGCCACATTTTAGTGGAAACCAGACAGTAGCAGAACATAAGCTAAAATTAAATCATTACAGATAAGGACAAACTCTGGTGGTGTAATTCATAGATACCTCCCAGCAAGCTACTAGCTTATTTTTTTAAAATTTATTGCAAGTACAAGCACTGGGCAGTGGCACTCTTACAATTTCAGGTATTGCTATGCAAGAAGACCTCTAAAAGGAATAAATACTAAGAGGCTATCTTTCACAACATATGATTCTCGAGAAGAAGAAAAAATATATACTGAATTTTGAGGCAGTTTTTGAAGTGGCTTGAATTCCAACAGTTTTTTGCAGTGTGGTTGCATTTACTGGTTGACAGGAACAACAAGTACATTTATTCTTTTTACAGAATTCATTCCATTCATGGTCTTCCTTTTTAATTAGAAATTGTTGTCGAGCTTTAAACTGATAATATCGCATCTCATCATCTGTAATTCTGGAACAAGAAGACATTTTTCACACAGTTATCTTTCGAAAAACAAAGACCTGAAAAAAAAAAAGCTTAAATATGAAAAAGCAACATGAGCAGATAAATACCATAAAAAAATAATTAGAGTTCAGGAAATTTATAAAAGCTAGATTTCGCTTAAGTAGGTAATTTAATATACTTCTTTAAATAGCAAATAAGTGTATGAGCGTTACGTTTTTATTGTTTACATTTTAAAATCAGAATTATATGTTTACATCAATATAGAGAAGTTTGAAACTTAACTATAAAACATGTATACAACCATTGTCTAACAAATTTTAAATATTTATTCATATGAATTAAGAATTTCACCTATAAATCTATCTTGTTAACTTCAAATAATTTGACATAAACTTTCCTTTTAAAAGTAATGTTAGCCTTGTTATTAAACATTTCAAAGAAAAACACAGATAATGTGGCGCAAAATTTAAAAACAACACGAAAAGTTAATAATCTTTAACACGAATATTATTGGTAATATCGTAATTAGTCTAATAAATTTTCAATTAAGAAACCTAAAGCTTGTCTGCAAAATTTTATTTAAAATTACCTGCTTTTCTAGTATTTTACGGTTATAGGTAATGCAAAATTATCGCAAATACGGTCATAGTTTATTCAAGATCATTTTACCAATTTCAACTCTACTTGTTAACAACAGAAACTTTAACTTTAATCTAATGTTTATATTTATATTTATCATCGTGCTTTCTATCCATTTGCTTAGTTGTTGGGAATCAAACTCTAATATTATAAATTGTTTTATTGTTTCATATTGCGGAAATTATGTTTCCCACGATTGCATTTTATTGTCGAAACACCATTTCAAGATCTCTATTTGGATATAATTGCATTAAGTCGTTTGCTAGCGCATCAACTGATTCGCATGCAGAGTTTCTAAAAGAGGGCAAATCTTCTGAGGAATCAAAATTTGACGATCGTATATTGTCTTCACTTGTTTGTCCATTAAATAAAAAGAAACTAAGATATGATGAGAAACGTCAACTTCTAATTAATGATGAACTTTCAATCGGCTATAAAATTATTAATGGAATCCCTAATATGATACCTACTGAAGCTTTGAAACTTGATAATTAGTTCAGAATAACTTTATAGTTTTACTGTTGTTTCAAAAGTGAATCTTTAGTTGTAGTTTATCGTCATAAAATCAGAAGTTGTGGTTTTGTTGTAATTATTGAAATCCATTGTATTATTTGACTTTTAATAATTTGTTGTAGTGGTAATATTCTTTTAAATTACTTACTGTAATCACGTTAAGATGGGTGATAATGCAGTTAAATGTGGTTGTAAAGGAATTAGAACATGTTTGATATGTGAAAAAGAAAAAGGAATTTCAGTTGAACCAAGCCTTGAAGAGGTTTGTTGTGATAATAATAAGATTATATTATTATGAGAGTAAATTTTATTATTCTATTTATTAAATAATTTCGTTTAATTTATGATATATTATTAATTATTTCGTTTAATTTATGATAAATTATGATATACTTAAAAAAAACATTTAACACCAGTTGTTTAAAATGTAGTTGTATCTTAGACTCTCATATTATAGGTATCTAATAGGACACTGAATTAAATAATTTTTTTCATCATAATCTAATCTTGCCTTAAATTGTGACTATTAAAATGCCAATATTTTCCTAAGCTGGTTTGTCTTGAGTGAATTCGTCAAGCATAATATTTTATTTCTTCTAATTATATATCAAATCGTTTTTTATTATTACATTATGCAAAAATGTAAATTGGCATTGCATAAATGTCTAAAGTAATGATAATTTCATAATTTTGTAGAATCCAAAAATTTATATATTTTGAAACCTCAAGAGTGTGTTTGTATTAATTAAATAAATCGCACCCTAGCAAGCAACGTGACGGAATTCAAAAAACAGCATTTGAGAAAAATCAGCTTAAAGAATACTATAAAACTAATTTTGAAATAGCACAATCTAGAAATAAGACACTTTTTGAACTTGATAGGGAACTTCATACATATTTTTTATTGACATGACCTGAAAATTGCTGTTTTTTTACTCTTTTCTTGCTACGTTGCGAAATTGCGAGCGAAATGCTTAAAGATTTTATGTACTCTAATCATAAAATACTTTTATGCAGAGTCTAAATTTTTGTTCAAAATTTTCTAACATTAGTCTTATTATTTTAAAAATACCATATTTTAATGAAAAAGAAATCTTTTTATCCCAGTCATCTCTTAGAAATTGTGCTTAGTTAACAAAACAAAAAGGTAAACTAATATTATTTAAAAATGTTTGATGAATTGCTAATCAAATTTGATGTAGGACAAATATATATTAAAATATTTCATAAATCATGTATAAATTTTTTTTTCTATTTCCAGAAAAGACTTGCTTGTGGGTATTAGACAATTTTGTTAAATAATTTAATTAAAGTTACCAAACAATGGTGTTTTATGCCAAACTTACTGTTTTAACTGTATTTAAATTATTTAAAAACCTAAAATTAAAAATGTGAGCATTTTAATTTAACATTAAAATTTTTTTTTTTTGTGCATCATTGAATTAACATTACATTTAAAAATGCAATTTTAGTTCCCAGTTTATAAATAGAACTTTAGTTTTATTTGGTATGTATGAAAAATTTAAAAATAAAAATTATTATATTTAAATATCTGTAGTGTTATTTATTTTCAATTATTTTATTAATTTATTTTTGAAATTTTGTATTTGACTAAACTCTATTGTCATTGTTAAATTAAACTTTTCCTTTGACACACTTTTTTATAAATGATGTTTCATATGTTTTAGGAAACTGTGGTGTACATTTACTGTCCTTATTGCAATCTATGTTGGTCTGAAGCTGGCAATTCAGTTGATCCTCTGTATATTGACAAAATAGCACTTATTCCTGATTTCATTAACAAAGAGGAAGAATCTTATTTAGTTTCATCAATTGATGAATTACCCTGGATGCCTTCACAATCTGGAAGGAGAAAACAAGTATGCAGTTTTTATTGATGAATTTTTTTTTTTTAAATTAGATTAGTTTTTATAATTTTACATGCTTATTAATGCAAAATTATCTTTTTAAAGTAGTCCACAGTCCTTAATTTGTCAGATTCCTTACATACTATTCGATTGTTATTGTAAGACCATTTTGGGTGTTTTATTCTGTTGCCAATTTGTTAGAAAAATTAATGTTCATCCTATGAATTTGTTAAGATATTTTAGTAGTTTTCTGAATTGATAATTCGGGATGCTTTTCAAAATTTGTGCAAACTCAAAGCTTATGTCTGGTACTTACAGAATTTTCCATTTATTTATATTCGTTAGCAGGGGTCTCCAATCCTATGCACACAAGGATCATAGTTCCTGTTCATCCTTTTAAGTATGCCTGATGCTCTACTATTGAGATAAAAGTACTTTAGTTTTCAATAAGAAGCTAAATAAGAGTGTAAACACACCTTGAAAAAATTATAAGCGTGTCTTGTCCAAAATGTCCCCTTAGATATAAAATGTTTGGAGATTCATATTCTAGAATCTACCTAATGTTTTATAGTAAAACATATTAATTACATGTTGTCTCTATTAAAATATAGATGTGACCTATAATTTTCAATAAATTTAAGCAATATAAAGCATAATAAACAATTATGCTGTATAATGTATTATATTTTAAGCATTGAGTATTGTGTTGTTTACTTGATTTCTTATATAATTAGTTTTTTTCAATTTTTCAGATTCTTCATGAAAACAAACTACCTTGTTTGTTTTTTCATTTTATATAAGATTTAATTATGATTCTGTGTTCTTTGTTATATGATTTGAGTTGTTGGAGAAAAAAAGGGAAGTGTTTAATAATGTAATTAAATTATTTGAGTATCATGATATTTCTAAAGGAAACTGCTAATGTGTTAAAATGAAATTTTTATTATTTGATATAATTTGGCACTATTAACAAGCTTATTTCTAATTTAAGCTTACAATAAAACTTGTGGAAGTGGAAAAGATACAATATATTTTGTATTGATGCTGTGATGGATAAATATATTTCACATATTTATAGTTTTATTTATAACTATAAATGTATTTCACATATTTATAGTTATAAAAATAGTTTTATTTTTTTTAAAATCATAATACAAAATTTTTCATGCAGTTTATTTCACATATTTTAAGAAATTAACAACATTGTATATTACTAATATAGCGTCCATAACACATTCAATTGTTTCTATTGTATTTATAGTGTAATGATTAATCAAATAATAAATTCTAACTTTTTGAATGATTTTTTCTTCAATGTGTCGCAATTTTGATAAAAATAATTTAGGTCCAAACATAACTACATCAATGTGCATGCTGCCAAATAAATTTTAAAATAGACTGAATAAAAATTTTAAAAAGTTATTAATTACTTCACTTTTAAAGAAACTGTTAAGTAATCATATTAAAAAGAACGTGCATTGGTTTCGCTGAGAATTTATGGAAGTAACTATTTAGATGCAGTCTTAAGAATTATTTTGATGTGGTCAGTAGATTTACTTAAAGAAAGGAAAGTCACATAAATCTTTTAAACGTGGTAAATTAAATCTTATATACTGTCTCTCAATTTTTTGAGATTTTTTAATTTAAAATGACAATGACTAATTCACTTTATTTAAATTTTTTTTTTTACAGGATTTTGGACCCAAGGCCAACTTTAAGAAGAAGAAGGTAAAACTGGGAGATTTTAAAGGATTTCCTTCTTTTGCTAAAAACATGATTGAGAGACTTCATTCTGTGGATGATCTTGTAAATTTTTTCCCTGTTGAATTATGTCATTTAGAATATACCCCTGACAGAGGTTCTTCAATCCAACCTCACATCGATGATCTATGGTTATGGGGTGATAGACTTGTAACTATCAACCTCCTGTCAAAAACTATTTTAACTTTAACCCCAACTGTTAATAGCTGTTTAAATTGTCCTGAAGAAATGCAATGTACTAACATTGTTTCTGCCTTATCAGACAAATTTAACTTTAAAGAAAAGGTCAAGCTTTGTAACCATCAATTTAATCATGAAGTTTTTAGAGACAAGCACCACTCTGATGTAAAAAGTATTTGTTCTGAATATGACACGAAAAGTATAAAAAGTGTAAAACCAGCCGTTGAGATCGTCTTGCCCCCCAGGTCTTTATTTGTGCTCTCTGGCTGTGCAAGAAATAATTGGTTTCATGAAATTAAACGGCAGGACGTTACATCTAGAAGGCTGGCAATGACATTTCGTGAACTTTCTGAAAATTTTCTTACTGAGAATGCTGATGCAGAAGAAATTTGTTGCAAGCTTCTAACAATATCTCAACAGTTTTGTGATTTTAGCAAAGGAAATGTGTGACTCAAATTTATGATTTTTATTACTGTAATTAGTGCATTTTTATTATAGTAAAGTATGATATGAAATGTGTGTCTCAAATTTATCAGTATTGAACCGAAAGTTTTGTAAAAATTCATAGGGATTGTGCTTCAATATACTTCTCAGGCTTTAATTTTAAGTGATTTATCTTACAAAAGCATTTTCAGAACTATCCTTTATTTTCTGCCTTTGATTCTATTTTAATTAATGATTTTTATTACAGTAATTAATTGATTTTTATTGTAGTAAAGTGTGACATATGTGTCTGAAAACAAAAAAATATTCAGTTTCAGTTGTTAAAGTTAACATACAGCTGATTATTTACATATGACATTACATAAAGTTACTATTTACTCATGACTTAACATAAAGTTGACATACATATGACATATGTTTCATACTTACTCCATTTACTTGTATTCAGCAATAAATTAAACAGATTCAGGGGTGATTGTGGTCCGGGGGTACCCCGGCATTCCGGGTTTTTCGTATTATCGTTCCTGGTATAAAATCGGGAGCTTTACCTTTCAGTTTCATCAAAAAATCACAAATTGAATAGAAAGTTCGCAAAATAGCGATAAACGCTCTTTTGTAGCAACCCTCAGGCAAGGATTCGTACTACGCTGGTCCGAGGCTAGGAGCAGTAGCGGAAGGGGGTGAAGAGTGTGAGAGAGGAGAGGAAGAATTCGTTTCTTCTCCTTTTGCTTGTGTTGGGAAAGGCATGACGCTGGAGGGTGGATTGGGGGAAAGGAGAATGCGTGACGCTGTTGCGGGGAGGGATTGGGAAAAGAAAATCTTTACTGCTTGGCGAAAGCAGAGGCTGTAGGTGTAGGGTTGTAGATTTTAGTTGCGCACTGCACTACTTGTCAGCACGTGTTAAAATTTTCACTGCCGAAAGATTTTCCTCTTGCAAGTTTTGTGTTGAATATTCGGCATGCATTTTTAAAGTAATTTCGTTAATCGCATTTTTTAAGTAAGCATGAAGTTCTTAACAGAAAAAGATGACATTAGCGATCTTGAAAAAGACTGCAAGAATAAGTTTCGTTTTGAATGGTTAATTAAAAAAGACATTTTGGAAGAAGAAATCAACGTGTGGTGCCGCAAGATTGATACACCAGGTACATGTTTCTGTATTGCGTGCAATACATCAATTAAATATCACAATGAAGGGTTTAAATCCTTGATGAATCATTCTGGAACAGTTGTGCATAAGAAATGTCGTCAATCTGTTAAAAATTCCCAGATTTTAAATTCTCTTTATCCTGGATCAGAAAATTTGACGCATACTGATGAATCACGTACTGTTGATTTGGTCACTCGAAAATCTAGGGCTGAAGCTCTTGTTCTATCATTTTTGGCTGAACATTCAATTCCTTTTTCTTTAGCTCCACAAATTGTGGAGTTGACTAAAACGTTATCACGTGATACCATGGCCTTAAATGCATTAGACATCAGTAGAACAACAGCATCATATAAGCTAAAATATGGACTTGCGAAAACAATTAAAGAAAATCAATATGAAGTTTTAAAGAATTCTTTTTTTTCTCTCAACATTGATGAAAGCACTAATAGAGCCTCTGAGAGTATTTTAGCTGTACTCGTTAGATACTTTGCTGAGGACCAGCACAAAGTGATTTTGCGACATTTAGCTTCAATTAAATTGCCTGCTTGTAATGCAGAATGCATTTATAATTCTATTGTTTCAATTTTCAGGGAAAATGGAGTGCCATTTTCAAATTTAATAAGTGTATTAATGGATTCCTGCAATACTATGCGTGGGAAAAAAAATGGTGTTGAAACTAAAATTAGATCCATCAATGCTCCACATTTGTTGGACATAGATGGAGAAACATTACTGGGCCATTTTTGAAGCATTTGGAAATTTTATGTGACAACATTTATTTTGATCTTAAGAGTGCTGATAAAAGGGAATTATTTTTCCAAATTTGTTCACTTCTTCACATGAAGTTACTGAAACCTTTAAATAGACCTGATCACAGATGGCTCTATATGCTTCACGTCTACAATATTTATGGGATGCTCTTTTAATATTTTATTTTTCGTGGGTTGGATTAGACAAAAAATTGTATGAAAATGATATTAAGGAAGTTTTTTCTAGAAGACAACTTTCTAATGAAGAAATTAAAAGTCTTCAAGATATTCAATTACAACTGGAAAAGAAGCATCTCACTGATGATGGAAGAAATAGGAAAAAAAGAATCATTCAAAGACTTTTTGTTGAGCAGAGAAAGACATTATTACAAATTGGTATTTATCAAGCTGTTTTGCCCCATTTTAATAAATATGTTAAATTATTTCAATCAAATGAATGCCTATTACATGAACTACATGTTCAAATGTTTAATCTGACTAAGCAGTTCTTTGCCTTTTTTTTGAAGCATGAGCTTTTGTGCAACATTAAATGTTATCAGGATGTCTTAAAAATCGACCCCACAGATTCTAAAAATTATTTGCCTGACAGACTCATTTTCTCTGGAATGAATTCTGCAGATACCAGTAAGAAAACAGATTCTACTATTCAGGACTTCTTAAAGGTGTTGAAAAAAAGTTACTCTAACTGCGCATCTTATATGCAGAAGAAGTTACCTTTGAGCAATCATTTGTTAATTAAATTATCTGCTCTCAATCCTGTTCTGAGAGGAGAAACTACAACTTTTCTGGCACTGATGAAGCTGGCAGAATTTTTGCCAAATGTTATTTCAAAGCAAGAACTACTTAAGCTGGACTTAGAACTAAGGCAGTATCAGACTGATGATTCTTTGGCTTTTTTTGAAAGCAAGTCTATGATGGAGTATTGGTCAAAAGTGATTGAACTTAAAGAAGGCAATGTAAAAAAATATCCTATTCTTTCAAAGATGATTAAAGCTCTTTTAACATGTTTTCACGGACCATCAGTTGAGAGTACCTTTAATTTGATGGGTGACATCATGTCTGAAAATAGAACTTCTCTTAATATTGAATCCATAGATTAAATTCAAACAACAAAATATTATCTTTCCTCTCTTAATGCCAGTACTTGTGAGATTTTTGGCTCTAAAGATCCTGCTCATGAACCACTAAACCGTGAATTTGCTCATAATTTGATCTACAGTTGGTCGAATTACCAGCAGTCTTGCAAAAACTGTCCCTAATGCTACTATTCATGTATCTGAGAGCCATGTGGATTCTCCACCTTCCTGCACTGCTAAATCTTCTCCAGTTCAAAGTAAAAAGCACTGTGATTCTCAAAAAGAGGACAGAAAAAGAAAATTGGCTCTTGACTCTCAGAAAGAACATTTGTCTTAGACTAAACAAACAAAACTTTCATCTTTCTTTAAGAGATAGATATTAATTTAGAAATTTGATGTTTTTGTTTTTTATTTTGAATAGAATATGTAATTTTTACTTTAAATTAATTTTAAAATTTAGATTATCTGTCAGTTTGATTGTATAGTATAATTAATCCATTTAATGAAATTTATGAACAGTTTTATAAATGATTAAAAATTATATGCATATTTTTGTTACAATTGAAATGTAGTTGTGTCAAGGGTATTGTAAACATGTAACTATTTAGAAATACATTGAGAACAAAATCTTAATTTCTAACTATTATTTAATAAATTTTATTAATTAATTTTAACATGCAGTTCCAATTATGTCTTTAAAACTGTATGTATTTCACTGTATGTAAACTGTATGTATTTTCAGGGTTTTTTACTTCATGTCACAATCACCCCTGCAGATTGACTTATGGCACTAATGGGACACATTTTCAATTATTACCAATTAAACAAAAGTTATTAATATATTATAATTTTGTTAAAGCTTTATTTCATTTTCTGCAAGAGGACTATCATATAAAATTGGTTTACATTAAATTTATTAAGTTAAGTTATTTACATGGTATTTGTTGAGAAATGATTCCAAAATATTATGTATTAAAATGAACTACTAGAATTGGGAAAGAGCGATACTAAATAAAAAGCCTCCCCCTACAGGTACTCCTCAAGTGAGAACCATTCATTACAGACTATCGTTTTCTTTTTTTTTATGCATAAACCATTACAGAACCCATATTAGACGAACTCTCTTTTAATGGAACACCAGCAGTAATTTGTATCTATATAATCTCTTTCAATAATTTCAAGCCATGCGCTTTATTTTTTAATATTATTTCATGCAATTTTTCCTAACCTATTTCTAGGACAATCCCTAAAATATAATGATTGGGTTGATGCGAATTTCATACAATTTTTCCCAACCTATTTCGTGGACAATCCTAGACTTACCAATACTAAAAACTACGTTTAGAAAATAAGTATGCAAAAAATAAATATGGCAGTTTTCACTAGAACAGTGGAGAAATTATTTTTCCTTCACTTGGGCTGTATAACTGATGTAAAAAACAAATCCGTCGTAAGAGAGAGACAAGGGACATTTGCCTAGGACCCCACGTTTGTGGTATTTTAAAAAAAATTATATTTTTTTAATGCATAATCATAAAATGTTTTTTTTAGTATCAAAGTATTTATTTGTATTTTTCCATATTAAAAATTGTTTGTCCTTTTCCCATAGATGAAGTAAGTAGGTACTTTATTTAAGTCATACTTGAGATGCACTATAGGCTATTGGCAACGGACCGGGAAACATCCCTGAGTATGATCCGAAGACATGGCATCGCAATTTTTATCCTCTACAGAGGTGATGGCTCCCTTGCTTTGGTAGCCCGACAGCCTGAGCGCGAAGTTGATCGTTTTACCTTAGAACAGTTTAACGAGGAACGATACTGTGCACCTTCGGTCCATTGCAGGCTGATCAAAGTGATCGCTCACCGGCTTACTGCCAGCAGCCGATGATGCACTGGGTACCGTGTTTTTAAAATCAGTCCACTACGGGATAAACCGTAGATGAAGTTGACAACCAAAGCACGGCTCCTGAAGACAGTGATCTCTTGGACCTAATTATAACATGGGCAAGGGGGCATTTGCCCAGGGCCCTTGAACCTTAGGGATCCCCAAATATTGTTATTTAAAATATTTTAGCT